TTCTAAAGTTTTTATCGATGTATATACCACATAATAAGAGATTATTCTCGCTGTATACCTACTTAAGTTAATATTTTGAATTCAAAGATTCCTACGAACAAGCCATTCATTCGCTCTTTCATCTCGTTTCATCTTTGACTCTGAATTATGAAATACTTACGTTAGTAAATCACGCACGAAATGTGAACGTATATTTGGTACATCAACACTGCGCGATGATGATTATTACGCGATATTTTACGTGCAGATGAAATATCGTGTCATCCCCGATTTTCGTAGTATAATGTATGACGTATTTTATTCAGGTGAAAAAGAAACAAAAAAAAATCCAACTCCTCATTTGATAACAAACTATTAAGAAGGAATGTTGAGTAATAATTAACTATTTTTTTGAAATAAATAACGGGGCTGGATCATTCAAACAGTAAAATACATCCTTGAAAATTTTCAAAACGGATATTGCGTAAAGATTAGAAAATCATAACGAATGATTAAACATCCAATTCTAATGGTACAAAACGTGATTGTACCAGGATATGGCTCCAAATAACCCTGCAGATAATTGTTTTTCCCCTACAAGAATTAGGTACCGTTTCTTCTTGTTCCACATATAATATGATTCGTGACATCTCATTGAGCTCGGATTGGTAATTCTCCTTTTATTTCTATAGCTATTATGTGTGTGTAAAGTATACACACAAAATAAGCACCACTCGTCGGATTATCGTTCTCTCCCACGTGTAGTCTCGTATCATCCAACCTAACCCTAGGCAATCGTTTTCTGTTCGAGAGAGAGAGAGGCATGGTATCAGGGAGAAATAGATGCCATAACTTGTTTTTTTGGGGTTTAAACAGAGTTTTGAAAAATTGCAAAAAACGTGGTCGCTAAATATTCGCTACTCTGATTTTTATGATTAAAAAAAAAAAAAAAAAAAAAAATCAAAAAAGGCTCTACCGTAATATATTAAAACCTTGCGAGACAAAGTTACGACAGATACCAACGCATGCACAGATATGAGTTGGTCAATTTATTTATTTGCAAAGATATTAAATTTATGATGCAGGAAAGCCAGTTGTCCGCACATATTCATCATGTATTTAATGTTGAAAGTAAAAAAAAAACGCCGCCTCGCGCTCGAATAAACTTAATGCACGTTTAAATAGCCGCGCAGAATTCAACCGTCATTGATTTGATCCATAGCGAAAATTACAACTGCAGTTGGAAGAAAAGAAGTGTGCAAAATGTAGTTTTTCGATTCCCCATTTGATCACAGCTTTGATCAGCGTAAGTACAATTTGCGATTCAACTGTGGAGATACAGAAGCTATAAGCTCAACGTTGCGTGGGAAGAGAAAAATTCTCGAGGGGAAAAAGGAAATCGGCTTCTTGTTCAAGGATGGAAAGCCTAGGAGGTACAAAGTAGATACCCGGTGGTGATGGTGCGGCGACGTGCATGGCGGGGAAAACTACGCCGTGGTTCTACAACGTAGGTGTAGCGTATATTATACGTACACACGTTAGCACCACTCCTCGTACCCGCTCGCTCGACCAGAAGTAGGTAGCAGCAGCAGCAGAGCGAATCGATTCCCCGCCGCTGCTGCTGCTGGCAGCTCTAGAGAAAGAGGCGAGACGGGGGAAGAGGGGAGCAGAGAGCGGGCGGCTTGCGACAACGACGATGACGAGGCGATGCTGCGCCACCGCTACGTATACCACCTATATACACACATGCGTCGTCGGGTACGGGCGTTTCGCGCTGCTGCCACGACGACGACGACGACTATCACCGGCGAGGAGGAAAACGAGGACGCCGGGGGCTGGCCGAGAGAATTGTACGGTAGGTCTGGCAGCAGCGCCAGAGTCCCCACCCGGAGGGAATCGATGCTGCTGCTGCTGCTGACGAACACGGTGGCAGCGGTGGCGCGGCGACTACGAGGTTGTGCAGCTCGCAAGGCTATACAGAGGAGAAGCAGACAGAGACGGACGATGTGTGGTGTATACGTTGCCTGGTTTAGTTGGCGGCTGACTCGGCACCACTCGATCGATTCTACCTCTCTACACGCTGCTTCTATATGACGTCCAGTTACGTCGAATCCAGGGTTTTTCCATGTTTTTTTTTTCCCCCCTCTCTTTTAAAACTACGAACAATGTCACGACGTTTGCTAAAAATTTACTTTCAACAAGGTCTATTGTGCTCTTCATTAACACTTATCCGTAAATAATGATAGCGATAATGAGTATGTTTGTACGAAAAAAAGTTGAACAATATGTACATATCCTCGAGGAAGGGAGCGGAGGGTGTTTTGATCCTGTAAAAAAAAAACGCGCGACGCGTGTTTGCCTCCGGTTTTGTTTTTTTAATTGTGGGCAACCGATTTTTAGCGCTAGTACGGCAAGCAATGCATCGAAAATACATTTTCGACGTGTATCACGGCCTCCAATTTTGTTTTTTTTTTGTTGCACATCTCTTTCGACAATTATTTGCAAAGAGCCGAGAATAGCTTGGTTCAGCGAAAAAAAGTTTCTAACAGACATTCCCAAAGAAAAATAACGAGAGAACAAGGAAAGTCGGACCCGACTACTCCGCAAGATGGTCGTCGACGTCGTCATCGTCGTCGGCCGTAGCTCCAACGCTACACGTACTTATACAACAACCACGTCTCGTGACTTATCTCCTGTAGCTCTCGCTCTTTTTTTATTTTTTTTTATTCGTTTCTGTCAGTTAGCTCTGCTGCAGCAAATATGCACTCGCACATGACAGAGACGTCAATTCATAAGCTGTGTTGACTGGATGCTTGGGTCGCAATCATCTCTGTCAATTTAAATTTTACGGATAAGCAACGCCTGCGGAGCATAGGAATGTAGTAAATACACAACCTACTGATAAGGTAATAACGCATGCATGGGCACGTAAAAGCTCCAACGCGTGACTATAGGTTGGAGGAGAAGTTTGCCGAAACACCTGGACGTGTCGGGTCATTTCAAAGACGCGCCCCGCAGCAGACAGAGGGGAAAAAAGGGCCACGGACAGAGGCAACCTCCTCGGACTGACAGCCTTAGCAGCTTTGCTGAACGAAACGAGGCCGGGGCCGAGAGGAAAAAAAAAAAAAAGAGAAGGACGAGGACGAATCGGCTTTGCCCGGCAGCGAACGAACGCACGGACACACAAATACCCATATATATATATATATATAGGCGCGGACACGCACGCATACTTGCACGTTTGAGCGCCTTTGAAAAGCAAAGCTGTGCAGGCCTGTCTGTAAGTATACTTAGGTAAGTAATGCCTGGACACAAGAAGAACAGTGTAAGAGGAAGGCTCAGCAGGGAAGACAGGAAAGAGAGGAGAAGAAGAAGGATGGGAACTAGGTGCTGATGTGCGTGCAGTGTTGCTGCTGAGTCAACGCGTTTGGGTTCCTCCGTCCGTGTGTGTAATTTATGAGTGTAAACCTATACAACACGAACACGGGAATTTCGGGAAGAAAGTTCAGCGAGAGAGTGAGAGAGAGCGGAAAGAGAATTTTCCCTTCTCCGAGGGGAGAGCCTCGAATGAATTTCGGACGTGGCTGTAAGGTTTTTGCGTCGTTCGTAACTTATACAAACGTACTTGTACGATGTGCGCAAAACTCAGCACGTGCCGTCAACGTGAACTTCCTGGCCAATGTTTCACTGCACCTTAACCGCTCTAACACAACGTTCTGTTTTATGATAATTGTTGATTATACATGGAGGGCCAAGAAAATGATTCTCGTATGAAATTACATGCATCGAGGGAAAGTAAAAATGTAGTGGAGGAGCGCGCGAGTGCGAAAAAGCTCTATGTACAAGTGCATGTATAGAGACACGCGACGATCACAATGTTCCGACTAACCTGTCGATTCGTAAATTTTTAGTTTTTGGTCGTTGCCCTCACAGCGTTGGTGTTTGATATTGTTTGAAATGTCGCAAATAAGAGATCGAGCGCGTGAGATATTGTAACGTAACAGAACAGCGCAAATTTGCATACGCGCTTTTTCGTTAGCTCCGCAGCGCTGCAGGAATGAGAGATTATTGACGGGGACAAGCGCAAGTCACGCAGAAAAAAAAAAAAAAAATTAAACAAGCGCCACTTGGTGTCTTCAACTTCCGAACGAATTTGACGAGCTTTCGAGCGAAATATTCACGTGCTCTGTAGAGCCCTGATTCGTTCAATCGAATGTTTAAAAAGCGTGAGTTGTAGTTAAAAATTGCGCAAGTGTTAACGAAACAACATTGGAAATCCTGAGACATTATATTGAAGTGCAATAGCTTGCCGACGACAAAAAATAAACAATAGCGGCGTCCAATCCCGTGCGTTAAATTCAAACTTTACTTTTGGCGGGAAATAACAAATTACATTCAGGATTGCTCTCTTGTGTGCACATTTCAAAACTAGCAGACGACTTTTTTTACACGCACCGATAAGACGCCGATTTTATTTGAAACTGAAAGTTCAGCATCCGATCGACAATTACAAGCGCGTAAAGTTTATGATTTTTTTAACGAGTAACAAACAAAGAGAGAAAAAAATTGGGCTCGAACATATTTCTTGCAAAATAACAACCAGCTTGGTTTGTTATCCTGCGGAGGTATGGTAATAAAGCGCACTATCGAAAAATGACCATGCTGGTGAGCGAAAAATGTGTCCATGCTCTTTCGACGCGGTTGGCAAGTTAAAATAAAAGGCACCCCGAAAAAAGGCTATCGCTACCTGGAAGCACGAGAAATAATGCGCAATACCACGTATACTATCGTGCCGTAGAGGATGTGGATGAGTAAGTATCCCCGGGGCCGACGCCGTCATCGATTTTCTCGAGAAAAAGAGAGCACGCGCGTGTCCGGTCCAGTGTTCCTTGTCCTGTGGTGTACGAGATACCGTATACCAGCAAAAGACAAACAAAAAAAATGACCACAACGTGCGAAAAAAAAAAAAAAAAAACAAAAAAAACAAAAAAAAAAACAAACAAATAATTAAGTGCACATACCTTGAATGGAAGAAGCGTTTGTATCTTCTCGACGAGCTGTCGTTTCTTGCCTTCCAGACCGAACAGGTCCATCTTGACGGCATCGACAGTCGCGCAGAGCCTGCACAGCTCGTGGTACCTTTCCTTCGGTATGAGGGGCTGCATCTTGTCGCCGTGTTTCGGTGTTATCTTGTTTGGAAGATCCTCACCCAATCAACAACAACAACAATGACAACGGTGAGCGGTGTCAAGGAAGAATCACGCGAGCGTCGGATGGACAAATAAATGAAACTCGCCGTGGCAGCGGTATTGAGCGAGCGTGACGAAGACTTTCTCTCCTAGTTGGTGTCAGAGCTGCGTGCCCCGTCTACGTCGACATCGAGGCACAGACTGTGGCTGATGGCCGGCCTCGGCGCTCTTCTCGCCAGGCCAGCAGCGGTAGGCCGACCGACCTCGATGACGACGAGCAGCGTCCCCTCTCTCGCTCTATCTTGCTCGCTCGCCCGCAGGCTCTCCGCTGCGCAGCAGAGAGCAGCAGGCCTCTTCCTCGCGTGCCCGTGTGCCCGCCCTCGACACTCTTCTTCTTCCTCCCTCTTCTCTCCTCGTAGAGCGACTCGCTTCTTTTCGTATGTCGCGTTCTGTTCTGGCTATAGGCGCCCGCACCTTGTAACCAACACGCACACGTTGTTGTTGTTGTTGCTATAAACTACGCGCACCAAACGCACCGCAGTAATCGTGCTACATCGCTACAGGGCCCCGGAATCGGAAAGCCAAAGACTCGGGAGCACTCACTTTTTTTTTTTTTTTTTTTTTTATTATTCGTAGCACTCTTTCTGTACACTCTCAAGTAAACAAGGTAACGAATGTGTAAAATATGTAACGATGCGTGTCGGGTTGACTTGACAAATCAACGGTGGAAGCTCGTTAACGAGAGAAAAGTCACTCTTCACTCCTCGCAGACGTCGACGGTATAACGTGAACGCACCAACTGATGGCGAAGCTCTCTTGTTCTTTTTTAATCTTCGATGCTATGCACTTTTTGTACCCTAGGTAACCTAACTGATGCCGCCACCGCCGTTGCGTGGACGACGTCGTTGAGCTGCCAAGGTGAGGCCGAGACTGAGCGCTGTGACGTCCTTTCCTCGTTCGCGGGCCGTAGTAGCGGTAGCGAGCATAATACCCACCCGACCGTCCAGTGGGAGAGGTAACGCGCAGAAGAGAGAAAAAGAGGCCAAGCCGAAGCGAAGCCGGTCGAGTATGAGGCGGAGAACTCTCGGGGGCGCGCGCTCGAGGAGTGGGGCGGCAGAGAGTCGTTGCTGCTGGTGCTAGGTGGGTAGGTAGGTGATGTATGGCCGCCACAGAGCCTGCAGAGCAAGCAGACAGCTGCCACCGCTACCTCGACCTCCGGGATAAACGGCCGCGCGCACCGTCATCGCCGTACAAGCGGTACAAGCACAAACGCACCAGCGAAACTTCAATCAGTGTGCTACAAACTTTCCTTGATAGTATAATTATATATTACACACCAGCCAGCCTCCACTGTTATTGTTATTGCTGCGCCCCCGCTTCCCAACCCCCTTGTACACACGGGGCGCAGCCATATTTGTTTACGTCTCTGTGAACCATATTGTTCATTTTTTTTTTTTTCTCAACTTGGTTTTAGAAGTGCTTGGATCTAAGTGTAAGAAAAAAAAAAATGTTAATGACATACCGCAATAGCACGAGCCTTAAATGAAATTTTTGTTTTCTCGTTAGACGCGATTTCAATGAGATATATAAATTCGTATAAATTTTTAGTAATTATCGACTAATGATAGGGTAGATTTCAAATACACGTTTGGTACAACATATAAAATCCAAGATTTCATCTGTTACATAAAATACATACACGTTTTTTTGAAAGTTATTTTATTGTACAAAATTTACATTTAAGTACTCAATTATGATTTTTTGTCTTTTTGCAGTTATAGAATGAAGTACTCATCTGTTGTATATTAAATATTAAACAAAAACAGAAAATGGTAACAGCTTTGATGATAAATGGTTGACTTTAATCATGTTCACTGCTTAATTAACAAAGTTGTAATAGTAATTTCATACTTTTATGACTCATCAATTCGTTTTATGACAATAACTGTTTCGTTAACTTTTTAATCACACATGCTTTTTTCGGAACGCTGTACAATCATTATCAACAAGAAAGTCTAAATTATGAAAATAGTTTACATCTTAGTATACATTTTTTTAAACAAAAGTCTGCGCAATATTAAGTTGATGCAGCTTTGATTTTTTTTTTAATCAGCTACACAAAAAATGTTTCCCCATTTATTTGCGGATAAAAATATTAAGTAAAAAAAGACATTTCTCCTAACTTTTTTTCTTGTACAACTAAATGATAAACAAAGTTTTTACTCAAGTCACACTTGAGCTACTTTGCAATCATATGAAAGATGACTCTGGTTTATGTTATCAGCGTAAATTATAAATCTAGTAATGATTAGATTCACACACAAAACATAGTGCTTATGTACACATGCCCAGTAAATTATTTAATTTGAAGCACTTTTAAAACAAAAAGAAATCCACATCACTATAACTGTCAAATTCGTCTGATGAAGATCCAGGGAAACGTAATTCTGAGGCAGACAAGTTGGCGTCGCTGTTTCCATCATTATCATCCTCATTGGGTTCTTCACTCACAACACTGTCGTCATCATCATCTTCATCATCATCGTCGTCGTCATCATCTGTCAATAAATCATTTAAGTGTATTTACTTAATGGACCAAAAACAAAGCTAAGAATCACTTCGTTACAAACAATTAAGATAGCAAATGTATTTGATAGCTTTATTAAACTCAATGTGTCTGAAATAACTTGCTGACATGACAGTTTGAAACAAAAAAAAAAAAAGAAACCTATTGAAGTATAATATTAAAAAAGTAAATTACCGTAATAATCTGAACTGGTATTTACATCACCTCTTTGGCTCTCATCTTTTACAATCTCACTTTCATCATCTTTACTTTTTCCAACATCGTACAACCGAACATACGATTTTTGCATAAAGTTAAAATCACCGTAGTTCTCTGCTAGAGCAATTTGAGTGTTATATTTATTACAAGCCAAATCGTGGATACATCGATTTGTATCGATCGTAGCTGAAAAAAAAAAAAACTTATTGATTAAATGTTTACTTTTGTTTGAAAGATATAAAGTTTTAAAAAACTTACTGATACTACTATAATCAAACGCTTCAAAGGTTTTAAAGGACGTAGTCTCGAATTCGTTTACCCTATCGACAGAGAAAGCGTACATGATGTTGTTATGTTGAGAAAAAATAACGTTCATTTGATCCAACTCTGGCACTGTTTTTAACAAGTTAAAGGTTCTCAAATCCCAAACTTCACTGTTGGATATTATCTCTGTACCATTAGGATGAAAAACTCCACTTAATGTTTTATTCAACTTGTCAAACTTGTGAATTTCCTTTCCTGAACTCACATCCCAGAGGATACCATCACTTAGGAGTAGCTCATCATTCATACTGAAAGTCGCTTTATTATTATCGTATCGATTTGATATTCGAGACGAAAAAGTACTGACTTTTGTACCGGTATTGATGTCGTAAATCTAAAAGAATCGTTAATAAATGATAAAATTTTCAGACAGTATGATAAGACAAAACTAAAACGTTTAAAAAAAAAAACATACAACTGCTTCTAAGTTTGCTGTAGCTATAATCTTATCTTGCTGTTTACTGAATTCTGCATAACTTTCTTTTCCCATTTGTAATTTGACTTTAAAACCCGATTCAAGAGCCCACAAAGCAGACAATGGTGCTTCCCAAGCTGAAGAAGTCAGGAGCAGATCACCTCGGTCGTTACACGAGATATTTGATAAGTAAGATTTGTGACAGTTGTGAGTTTTTTCGGACACACCTGTTACGGTATTAAACATATGTACTCCACCACCGTTTGTGCCAAGAAACAGATATCGTTGGCAAGGCTGTAGAGTTTATGAAAAAGATTTTGAATCATCAAACTTTAATGTTTATTATTGAAGAATGCCTAGAATACTTGAAATTCCATACATTGGAAAATTTTTTGTTGAGTATAAAAAAATTTACGGGTGTCCCATGTTAAAAGAACTATACTTGTGTAAGTCAGCAAATAAAAATACATGCAAATTATTACTGATAGTAACCAGGATATCGGCATACAATAATTTTATAAAAAAATACTTACGGAAAAGGTACAACATGAGAAATCGGTATCAGCACTTAAAGGACGGAAGCTCCTGACTGGACAAAATCGACTGTAAATAAACCTTTTGTCTAATCGCCTACTATCGAATCCGAATGGTCTCCTCGACAATCTCATTGTAATATTAATCGGTGCTGTGTTCTTTTTATACGGATCAGGACATCGATGATGTCTACAGAAGTAAATTAGCCAATAAAGTATGAAAAGTCAATAAGCGATTCAAATGCTCATCTACCAATACTTACTCAAATAAATTAAATTGCGGACATGTAGCCATAGGATTTTTACATAGCGCATGTTGATTCGTTAAATATCCCGTAACAATGGAATCAAGCGTAATTTCATTACTCTTTACAGGAGGAATTCCTACTACAGGGGCTCCTATTATGGAATCTCGAGAAACCTGTTTCATCTGAGATCTACATGATGCTTGTTGACTTTTACTCGGACTCGTATTAACATTAATACTAGTTTGATTCGTCGAAAGCTGCTGCTGCTGCTCGTCTGACATTTTTCTGAAATGAAGTTCGTAGTATAATTTGAACAAGTGGTCATAAAAAAAAAAAAAAAACAGTAGTTTTAAAAAAGTATCCTACTCTGGACTCGTCAGATTATTTGAAACTAAACTTTGATTCAAAGAATCATCGAGTCTTATACTGTCAGAATGCTTATTAAGACAAGCAACTGCACTAGTATGCACAACACATCGAAACGAAGTTGTCGGAGTTGTATTTGCACCTGTTAGTGTGGCATCTCTTAATCTACACTTTGTTTTATACAGATTAGTGGAAGCCACTGGAGAGAACCCTGAACTTGGCTATTGGATTTTATACGAATTATTTAACTTTGAAACACGAATAATTTTACAATAAGAAAACTGGTTTAAACACTAACGCTGGTAGATATTGAGTTTTTCAAATTATGAGTTGATGATTTTAGTACTGTTGTTGAAGTATCCAAGTTTGCCTCTGTTTGCAAAGTTGCCGCAGTTTCAGTTAAACCTTCTGATAACAAATGTTGCTGAATAAGCTGGAATAACTGCTGTTTATTATACTGTATTTTAGTTTGCGCAACTACATTGGCCTGAAAAATTGAAATATTCTTTAATAACATTCGCTATAACTTTATTTTAAAAATAATTTTTTTATTTAGGTGAAACGTAATTCTGAGGCAGACAAGTTGGCGTCGCTGTTTCCATCATTATCATCCTCATTGGGTTCTTCACTCACAACACTGTCGTCATCATCATCTTCATCATCATCGTCGTCGTCATCATCTGTCAATAAATCATTTAAGTGTATTTACTTAATGGACCAAAAACAAAGCTAAGAATCACTTCGTTACAAACAATTAAGATAGCAAATGTATTTGATAGCTTTATTAAACTCAATGTGTCTGAAATAACTTGCTGACATGACAGTTTGAAACAAAAAAAAAAAAAGAAACCTATTGAAGTATAATATTAAAAAAGTAAATTACCGTAATAATCTGAACTGGTATTTACATCACCTCTTTGGCTCTCATCTTTTACAATCTCACTTTCATCATCTTTACTTTTTCCAACATCGTANTTAACGGGCTAGAAGCCCAATTACAAAAGCATACAGAGGAATTGGAGTGAGGCGCATATATTTATAAAAAAAAAAAAAAATCCTAATTTGAACTTACCTTATGTATACTAGCTGAGGAAACTTCGTGTTTCGTAAAAATTGGCTTAGTCTTTCCAGACACGCACTCAATTAATTTTAGGGCATACTTTTGAAACATCACATGCTCTTGCCTCTTTTCCTGAAGTATCGGATCCTTTATTAGAGCATGTATTTGCCCCTCAGTAAACATTGGTAATTTACTAATGATTTGTTTGACTTTCTCACTCCTGGCGAGGCCAGCTAAAGCTCGACAAGCCAGAGCCCGGATGCTGTCTGCGTCAGTGATCGGCACCCTTATTTTCATAAGTTGTAACAAAATCTGAAAAATAAGTAATTATACTGAAATCCGTGCAACGAATTAAAATGGTAACTAACCATAATGCCGTTGTTAGATTGGACGCATTCCCATATCTGCTGCATGATTTCTGCTTTGCTCAGCCAACTAGTCTGATTTTTGGCTGAGTCTGTGGCAGAGTACCTAGCTGGATTATTCTCTGTGCTACTCGTTGGTGCACATACGCAATTTATCAATGTATACAACGCCGCGCGCTGCACATCTGGATCCTGGATGATTTCGCACTCAGCTGCAGCGAGTAGGTTAACAGCGTTTGATATTGTTGCACCCGGCATTCCAACGCGTTCACACAGCAATAGCATTACTTTGGGTACTACTGAACATATTCCTATAACGTCCAGACAGGCACGTACCGTTTCTCCAGTCAAGTTCGTTACGCTGTAAAAAAAGATAAACATGACTGAATATTGACGTTAGTATTTTAAGTGACAAGTGACGATGTAATAAAATTTCAAGGTACTGACCGTCCAGCAGCACTCCATTCACGGAGAAGGCCTAAAATCTTAAACATACAATGAGTGCCGCCCAAACTGTGAAGCTGCTCCACAGGTGGCCACGACGAGCTAATGTTCATCAATTTTTGCAACATTTCGATTTTTTCTTGTACTTCTTCAAAATTTAATTTGCACGCTTTGTACGAAGGAAGAGACAGTTGGAAGAACTCGTGCTCATTTCTTGCATTTTCTATCCTCTGGAGTCGTTCAACTTTCCAGTACAGATGAGCCTCCATGTATTTTTTTAAAGCTATGGTTACGACTCGGAAAATTTGTCGAGCAGCTAATTCTTCTTCTTCAGTGAAAAACAGCTGATTGTCAATGTTCAAAAGTGACAGTCTTGACATCTTAAAAAAAAAATAAAACAATGAGATTGCGTCAAAAATGCATAAGCCAATGACATAGGTCAAAACAATCAAGGGCATTATTTTCTAGCATTCCAGCCTGAGAGACTCAAGGGGGTCATGGATTCAATTACCGCCTAAAATTGTTATAGTTTGTTATTTTTCAGGCTTCTTACTTAAGTGAAAAATGTACCAAAATTTTAGAACTTGCACAAGTAATGTAATGGTAGAAAGACTATTTTATTAGGATAAAAACTTACCATATTAATAAATTTCTTTAAACCATCTTGCGCATCAAACTCATCTAATATAACTCTAAATGCAAACGAAAGACTAAAGAACATAATAGCATAGCATCTTCCCGAAACGTAACCTTCTTCCATCAGCCAGAGTGTATATGTTACAAGATCCGTAATTACATTTTTCGGCAAGACGCAGGCTTTTTCCATAGCATCCTCACAATGAGCAAGGCATAAAAGACAAATACAAACACCTGATGCTGCTACACTCGACTTTGGAACATCGAGCAGTCGTTGCAGCCCGCCGATACTGATGAACTCCATGAGAAATTTCTTATGGCTGAGCAGAGAGGCAAGATACTTTAGAGCATCACATACTAGTTGACTGTCCGTTTTACTAATATTTATATAATCGAAAAGAAGCTCCAAAATATTATGCTCCACTACGTGATTCAGGAATTCTTGAGTGAAGCCCATTGGCGTTAAGTATCTGCAAACATTCATATTTTGTAATTAAAGTTGTTAAAAAAAAAAATAAAAAAATAGTTGCATGGAAATATAACAGCCTTACCGCACTATAAATATTTGTTTCGTTGCTAACGTTGGTGGGTAGATCTGTACATTGGGAACGTTAGTATGCGTTTCAGCCAAACATGGTTTTGAGTGTTCCTCAAGCCCAGTTGAGTTACCTTTGGCTTCATTATTATTCTGTTTTGATAGAATGGCATTCTATCAAATAAAATTCCATCAGTTTAGGATTAAAATTAAAAAAAGATTGTAACCAAGAAACACAATAGTCACCAGAGATACTTTGGCATTTTTTTTTGGCGTAGATATCGTGGTACGAGAAACTGTTGGTTCTGAGAGTAAGATACCGTTTCCACCTGGTTTATCTTGTTCACGCTCATATTTCAACTTTTTGGACGGTAACAACGAATTTTCAAAAGTATTTTCATCTTCTGACTCACTGTTGGATGAAGAATAATTCAATTCCTGAAATTTCTTTGTTAATGATCCATTTTGCCGCTTTTTATCTCTTAGTTTTCTTTTTTTAAGATACTTTTTTTTTTCTGTATCTGGCAAGTCACTGTTTGATCTGTTATTATGACCTGAGTAAGAGAAATTCTGGCATGCATTTGCCAGTCTTTCCTTTGCTGCTTCTTTTTGAAGCTTTTGCAATCTCTTGAGCATTAAAGGCACCATTTTTCCATTTTTTTCACGAAAATTTGAAGCAAGATCTTGCACTTTCATAGCAGTAGCCAACAAGCCCGTAGCATAACTCTGTAACGGCTCACAACTCTCTTCTGCCCAAGAAAAAAGTTGGTTAATTAAAATCTCTGTTGTAGGATAAAATACCGATATGGGATCAAGTCTTGGAAAGATGTTTAACATTAATCTACAAGCTGCTATATTTACGTCTTCAACATGCCTGTTAGTTATACCAAGTTGTAGCCAATAATTATCTCTCAAGTAATGAAAGAATAACTGAAAAAAACAACCAATGAACAAACAACGAAATTAAAGTAACAGTGTGAATTTAGTTTGAAAAAAAGCCAAACCTTATTACTAAAGTTGCTTTTCTTGAACAAAACTTTAATAGTGTGGTTAATGCAATCTTGATCTGAATTCAGTAAATTTCTATCATCAAATGGATCAGAATTTATTTTGTAATAATTTTCCATTTCTAGTTCAATTATTTCAGCCAAGCGATGCAGTATTGGTACTGGATCGTAAGTGGGTGAGGTCTGGTCTTTCTCCCATTGTTTTAGAATTTGTGACACATCAGTCATCTCAGCCAATGATTCAGGAGTAGCCATTGTAAAAAAAAATCTAAACCAAGTTAACAAACATTTTACTTTAATAATATATAATAAAAGCTAAACAAAAGCTAGGATCTAAGTAATTAATTTTACATAGATAAGGTAACTGATTCTACACAATAAATTAGAAAGTACCTATGTTTATTGAAAAGTACTTTTAGATTCCAAATTTTTCAAGATTTACTAACAAAAAATTGCTTGAAAAATAGGAGAAACTAAATGTTGAAGCAATTCCAGTTACGCTTTTTACTGAGTAGCTTGTTCTGTTATCGAAAATTTTTTATTAACGCTTTTTCAAGATAAAATACCACGTGAGAGTACTTAGCTTTCAGAACTTGTCAAGCTGTCAAAGATTTATTAGGACGGTGACTTGACCTTAATACTTGCAAATTACCGAATCAGCTAGTGTGTGACAACTTGAACAAGAAATTCATCTAGTTTCAAGCTTGGGCACTAAGGAAATTAGGTAATATGAGCGTTAAAATTAGTTTCGAAAAATCCGTCCAAGTATTGGGCATCTTACCTTACCTAAGGACAATTTCAAGTTACACACGGCTGGACTTTTTGGATCTTAAGGAAATCACACTAATTCATGAACCTTTTTAATATGTTGATGAATATTTGATTTTAGGTTAGAACTGTTTTCTTGTAAACAAAATGATACAAAGTTATGGAAAACGATCGTACCTTTAGCCAACGCGAAAAACATTTTACGCAAAAAGTTATTTCGTTTTATCATTCTGAATTAGGTACTACGTATGGCGTGCACTTTTAGCAATAAAGTATACATGATACACTTTCTAATTGTTTTTAATAGAAAAAAATATTGAATCATAACATACCTTACAGAGGTCGTAGAACCGAAAAAGGAAAAGTAAGTATCACTCCCTCCTTATTAGTTCACCCACCTTGAGGCACTAGTTAAGTCGTTTTTTACCAGCTGCCGGGTGATTCTCAATTGTTACGTGTGTAAGTATCCATACTAAACTTAAATTAAGTTATAAAATAGTTAAGAAAGTGCACCTGCCAAATAAGTACTTTAATGACGTTGAACGTGTACAGCGCCTCGCGGTGAAGCGAAATAGGTAAGTAATACAGTATACGGGGAAGAGGATAGAGGAGAGAGAAGAGAGAACTCTCTCTTACTCTCTTTCTTCTTTTTTGCGCGCGAGCGCGAGTGAGCACACTGACAACTGAGGTCACTGAGCACGACTCTCGTGGGTGTGCTACATATGATAATGTTGAGATTAAATAATGAGATTCATGATAATATTTAAGTACAGCATATAGAGGAATCATTCTTATAAGACACAACAAACTATAGTTTGTAAGCTATTCTATAATCTTTAATTGTAATTTAATTTTTTAATTTCCCGCTATTGCAAGAGAGAAAAGAGAGGTTTGGTTAGTACATCGACATATATATATGTGCTCGCTCGCTCTCGCGCCATTTCGGATTTTGGACATATCAAGAGAGAGCAGCAGCAGAAAATCGTATTTTCGACAAGTTATTGTTTACTTATTTATTGATTTATTTGTTTGTTATGTGTTGTTTTGATATTTAATTTTATTTTTTTGTTTCGGTAAATGATTTGCATCCTCAAGTGTAAAAAATTGCCGCTAGTCATTCATGCCATTTTCAATCTCCATCTATTCTATTAAATAAATGGCACGATTATTTGAGTAATAGAAAACATAATATAAGTCATATGCAATGTGAATAACATGAAAATCAGTAGAACAAATCGTGTGATGCGGAGAAGTTGCCATCGTTTGAATTTAATGCCCTACAAAACTGGAGCCTGCTGGCTCCTTGATTTCTGCTTGAATTCAAAAGATTCGTTGTAAAAGATGTTCAAGAGGAACTTAAATCACAAAGATAATTCATCCTCTAAAAAGAGATTCAAGCAAAATGAAAACTCACCAACTTCAACCACACGCGTTGAGAATGATCCTTGGGGGGACGATTTTGAAGAGAAAGATATTGAAGAAATGGACTTCATTGCATCGCAAGCAACACAGGAGGTTCAACTCAATGATTTTATCTATTTTTTTCAATTTTCTGGGCATTTGAAACATATACTGGCTGCTGTATTTTGTAGGAAGTTTTTATACTACCTCCACCTGTAGCCGGACCAAGTTCATCTGTCAGAAGATCTTTTAACAGTTCATCTGTGAGTTTTTTTTCGGAAAGAAGAAACGAAAATGTAGCTGCACCATCTCAAATGCTGGCGTCTTCAGATTCCAAAAAAGAAATTGTTGTAAGTACACAAGCATTGAGGTTTGATGAGTTTGAGAGAAATGTCAAGAGCAATTCTCATAACTCTACATTCAGAACCAGACCCGAGTCTACTAGTGGTAACGTTGTGTTGGTCTCAGGTAAATATGAAGTTTTTAATTATTTTAACATTGTAATATCCAAAAAATTAAGAGAATGAGCTAAGAAAAAAAAAAAAAAAAAGATGATGAGCAGGTTGAAAATTGGAAAGAGGAAAAGAAAAAAATGTTGGAAGATTTTTTGACTAAAGAAGGTGAAACAGAATTTTTGAGGCAGCAACTCAATCAAATTCAAGCTCGTGCTGAAAAGGCAAAAATAGAACAGGCAAGAGCGAGTGAAGAGCAGATGGAAGTTTTGAGATTAAAGATAAATGCTCTAACCAAGGAAAAAACTTCATTAGAATCTCAGTTAGAAATTCAGGTACATAACTTATTATTAATTTAATAACCATGTATCAATTTTAATAAGATAATGTTAACTATAAACTTTTTCTTGCAGAATTTTCAATTTAATAAAGTATCTGAGAAGTGTAAAATGCTAGAGACTGGTTCTGTAAAATTTGCTCAACCTCAAGTGAATATAATTAAAGCTGCCAACAAAGATAGGGCTAATACTTCTATTGGTTGGTCACCCAAAAAAGTTAAAACCAAAGAAAACGGCGTACAAGCAGACCAATCATCTTCAATTGAACTTTTAAGAAGTAGTTTAATTTGTAAGTTAATTCTTTATATTTCTTCATTTTTTAAATTATGAATTGAATTAACAACATTAATTATATTTCGTGCAGTGTATCCTCTAAAGACTATACCTCAATATGCTTTTGAGCCATGTGAGACAGAAAAATCTGTGGTAGACATAAAAATTGAAGAAAAAGTGGGTTCTAAAATTGAAGAAAAAATAGGTAAAAAAAAAGTGGCCATCTTTCAAGATGAAGAAACTTTCCGAATTTTTGGTAATGAATCAGAATAGCATTTGTTACCTCTACTATCATGAAGCAGAATGACTGTGACCTTTATAATTTTATTATTTAGAAAATCCAGAATTGTTTAATCCAAAAACTACAGTCGTTTATGGCAAGACTTTATCTACAGAATTTTTTATGCCAGATCTCGCGCAGCTTATTAACAAAACAAGAGAGGAAATCAATTGTTCTCACGTTATTCCCACAATCAACAAAGTAAGACTTAAATTTATGAAGCTCTCGTTATTATTTGATTTATTAATTTACATGTTAAACAGTTGGTCGCAACAATGCGCGAATTACTGCTGAATTCGACTATAGTATTGAGAAACATCTCACTAGTTTTAAAGAACGATGACCTACGCGACATGAATGAACTTTATTTGTCGGAGTTCTACGAGATGCCGGTATTGCATACCAAGTCGTTTCACGAGGCGCATCCTTGGTACGATCTCGAGCGCGGAATCGAGACAAGACGAGCTGTCGGTGTTCTAGCGCATGTGGCCTTAGTCTCAGATTACTTAGCCGATTATGTGGCTGGTAATGTGAAGCTGAGAACTGATCAAGATCCATTCTACAAATTGTATGCTAAGCAGATGGTCAGTTATGATGCCTGGGATAGAAAGGGTTTTGACTTTGAATTCTTAGATTTGGTTCTTGAATTTGTTACAATTATTGGAAAAATTGTAAGTTTCATTGTTGAAAATTGCACTGAGGAAATTATGAGTTTTTAATTAATTAATTTGTATGCTTTCAGAGGAGATCACATCAGTTTGCTGGTCTTATTAATGCTTTGATGACTTTAATTGTTAATGTGCAGGCCACAGTTGGATTTCCTCAATTTGCGTAAGTTACTTTATTATAAAAATAAAAATTTTAATTTTATAACGTCCTATTTTTTCAGATTAAACAAAGTATGCTCTATTTTTAAAGCAATTGTTTATAGCAGACCTCTGCTTACTTGTTTTCCAACAATATCAAAAACTCTGAGAGAGTTTTCAGAACATTCCGAGTTTGTTGAAAAATTATGTATTTCTCCAGGTACTTCTATTTTATTTTTTAATGATGCGTAAAAAATTTTCCACGTGATGGTAATTATATCCCTGAATTCTTTGATTTTTGTAGGAAAATCTGGAATCAGTAACTGGAAAGGTTCACTTAATTTTACAACAGGTAATATCTTGATAAATATTTCGAGGATCAACTACATTAAATACTATATTGACATTTCATGATTTTAACTTTGTTAAAGATGCATGTCCCATAGAAATTTTTATTGCCCAATTAGAGCACTTTAAATTAGATCCAATCACGTTGGTGAATATTACAAGAGATTTGGCTTCGTTCAGTTTGATATCTCTTTTGAATGATTCAATCCCTTGGTTAGAAAAGACTATGAACTCTTGTAATTGTTGCCTCAACTTGCTCAAATTTGTTGTGATAAATTTATGTGAGTGTTCCAAAATCAACGTAGTTGAATTGAAAAACAAATACACTGAGACCAATATCTCGTCGCAAAAACCGAAGCTGGAGACTGACAAGAAAAATAATAAAACGTCGTCAAAAGAAAAGCTGTACGAGGATTGGAAGCGTTATGAACAAAACAGCAATGTAAATTTTTGGGATGCGCTCAAAACTTTGCAATATTCTGCCATTGCATTTGGAATTCGATTGTTAAGTTTTCTGGCTAAACGAGATTTAGATTTTATGATTAGACTAACGTACATTGAAGATGCGTTTCATATGTTTCTGGATAATCTTAACATCAGAAGTGATCTTGAATTAAAAAAGAGTGATGGCAAGTTCAAATATGAATGATACAATGGTAATTACAGTATTCAATTATAACTCATTCTTTTTTCTTTTTTTTTTGTTTTATAGAAGTTGCATTAGACATTGTTAAAAAAACGTTTGTTTTGGAAAAAAATAAAGAGGAATCCAGAATTCAAGGATTAAACATGATTGGTCTTGAATCTGAACGGTGGATCGATTTTACACCCTCAAATGCAGATTTAATTAAATTGTATGAGGAGTAATTAAGTTACGTAAAAATAAATTAAGTAAGCCAGTATATTTATAAAACTATAATTTTATTATCAATCACTAAGTTCCTCTTCATCGCTAAAGTATGAGCTCTTTTTAAACCGTTTATTCTTTTTTACAGTCTGCTGATCGTGAGACGTGTACTGTACACCCAGACTCTCACACCTGGATATTTCGTACTCCCTTTTTTCTTGCTGAAAAATGTCAGACATTTAAATTTAAGATATTGTTAACAGATTGCAGTTAAAAAATTTTCTCTATGTTTATTAAAGTCTGTTTTTGTAGATAAAATGTGATAAAAGTTTTTATTTTAATAAAACAGTATATTGTACATTATATTTGATAATATTCTATCTCTTCTTCTATCTAATTCAAATTAATTAAAGAACTTTCAGCTATGATTTATTCTTATGCAATACAAAAAAAATAGTTCATATGTAATTTTTTTAATTTGACAAATGCATATTATACTTGCATTTAGTTTTTACTCATTGAATGGATAGAAAAATTGATAATAACGTGCTATGATAACACTTACCTCTTCCATAATAGCAGAACTCAATGTGTCTATTTCGTCATCTGAATTTTCAACATTGCTACAATTTGAGTCGTTTATTTCATCATCGCCATCGATTTCATGTTTTCGCTTATTCCTAATTCTGACTTTTTTTGGTGGTGGAGTTCTACGACCAAGAGTATTTTTTATGCACTCATATGACAAGTGTCCTTCCTCACCACACTCGTAACACTTAGATTTGTCTGGATAATCCTTGCGTCGAATAAATTCTGCGCTTCTACCGTTGTCAACTGCAATTGAACTTTTGATTGTGCGTCCGCCTATCTGTAAACCATGAAAATTGTTTACTGTGCAAATATTTAAAAATCTAAGTGTGTATGTACCTTTCTAGTATTGAGTTCTTTAACACAATTTTGAGCTTCTTCAGTTGACAAGAACAAAACAAAAGCTACTCCTTTACTTTTTCTCGTACTTTTATCTTTCACCACAGTAACTCTTGACAAAACAAAAAACAGTTGTTTTGTTATGCTGCTGTTAAATAGAAAACTTAATTCCTAAACAATTAATTTGGTAAATACTTACTTCACAATTTTGCCATAATTTTTTAACAACTTGTAAATGTCATTATTTGTTAAAGAAAATGGCAAATTACTAATGTAAACAGTTGATCTGCTTGGGGCAAGCTTCCTTGTTTCGCTCATTTTTAATAAATCAGTTTATTAGGTTAAAAAACACAATTGATTCTTGAATCAAAGTTTTTAGTTTTAAAAAATATAATCATATAAGAATCCAAATAATTGTTTAACTATACGTATTATTCGCAATAATGTAAACTTTTCGGGTTATTTTGTTTTTCAACCTCGAACTGCGCAATCAAAACAAACCATCAGCTGCTTTTAGCAGACTACAAAAAAAAAGATCGATGGTTTCGATTTTAATCGAACATCTCGTAACTCTCGGCAGTCGATATATCTGCGATACTCAACAACACAATACACGTGAGTTTCATGTCGTAATTGCATGAAAAAAAATTTTCTACAAAATTAATATCATTACATAGAGTAATATTAAGTACAACAAAGACTGACTTACTATGCAAACATTCACGAAAATTGCAATTGGATGGTAGGTGCGTGCTTTAGTCGAATAGTACCTAAGAATTTCGTGATTTACGTGTTGTGAGATCAGATTTTATAACCTGTAGTCGTCAGGAAGTAATAAATTTTTTAAATTCTTTTATTTATGTTTACTGTATATGATATCATAATACTGTTTCGTACTTAAGAATATTGTATTTTTTTTAATTTAACTTTATTTTATGGCAGTTTTTGGAAGTGGGGGTCTTTTCATTCATTCATAATAAATTGTCTGACTAATGTAGAGCCTTATCTTATTTATGTAACTCCTTATTATACGAAAATATAGTCTAATTCTAAGTTATGTGTGGGATGTGGTACAAAATGGAATAGCATTCAGAATAAATTCAAATAGCAACTTGTATCTGAACATTGACTTGTTTGTTTGAACTAAATAAATTGTTTTCAGGGCATTTGCGGTAACCATTGGGTTATACTCTTTTTATCTATCAAAACAATACGTAGACTCTCACAGATATGAGGCAATGAAAGCCAGACAACGTATTGCCACCGCAGCTGATGATCCTAGTAAAACAGTCAGACCAGTGCCAGAGCAATTCCGACATTAAATTAAGTAAATTGATTTCGAGAGCTGAATGCAACTTTTTTGAAATTTGAAAAAAAGAAGGTAGCGATAAACAAAATGGCCCAACTACCACCGTTAGACGAAGAAAAGTTGAAGATGGTTCAAAATTTGGAGATTGAAATGATGTCAGATATGTACAATCGGATGACATCAGCTTGTCACAGAAAGTGCATTGCTCCCAGCTATTCAGAACCAGAATTGGGTAAAGGTGAAGCAGTTTGTATTGACAGGTGCGTTGCAAAGTATCTCGATGTTCATGAAAGAATTGGCAAAAAGTTAACTCAGATATCAATGCAAGATCAAAATCTTGCTGGTGGTGTGCAACCTGGTGTCAAGCCAGGATAAATGTATAAAACACCTGGTGGTTAAGACAAGTGTTTTAGTGGCGACATGTGTTTCAATTTTTTTAACTTGTGGAACTACATTTCATGTGCATTTAACTTTCTCTTTTCATTCTTCTAATGTAAAAATCTCATGTTAGAATAATTGAAACACATGAATAATTGATGTATGAACATTATCACACAGTTGAGAACAGAGTTTTGTTAGACCAAATGTAATCTTTTTACTTTACCAAAATATTGTTAATTAAAAAGTACAAGCCAATTCCACACAATTTTATTCCTGAAATCCCAAACAGACTTTCATTTTGTTGAAAATGTTATATTCCATCATACAAATCTATACCAACTAGTAATTAAAAGCGACCTCATTTTTAAAAGGCCCTGTTCTAATGCCAGTGTATAGTTTTGTTATTACTACTGGCTACGTTAAACCATGAATGGCACACATTATTATACCTACCGTTATAATATCGACTTTAGATCTTTAGAACAGCGTGTCAAGGTCTCGATCGAGGAAGTGATCGAAAGTTTTGTTGTCTGATGATTAAATTATGATCATGAGGTGGAGCTGCAATTTTCTAGTATGCCGAGATCGATACGGTTAAATTCAATAGCGGACTTTAAATTTATCAAACGAGGCAAGTTACATATACGCCATGAAGTGAATTTATTTATTTGAATCTAACTTAATTAAATAAAATATTTAAAATAATTTTTTCCTACGAAAGGTTGAAAATTCATATTTAAACTACTTAACGATATGATCATTACCGTTTACATGATTCGAGAAATTTTGTCTGTCACATCTGTTTTAAAATTTCAACAAACGATTTACTATTTACTAAGCCTTTCTAATTTGCAAAATAATACTTATGTCCTTGTACCGCAAGCTCGACTTTAATGAAAAATCACCGTTAAGCGCTCCAATCTCCCTTACCCTATATACATTCCTATTTATTTAGAAAATTTGTTGCCGATCCTTAAAAAAAAAAAAAAAAGCCAGCAAATGAGAATTTTCCTTTGCCGTTCAAAGAAGCCTTTATATACTTCAATAATTCCTCGCGTCTACCCTCTACATCGTCAATTCCCTCGTTCGATTTACTTTTCAAAATCCGGTTTTTCAACACTTTGGTCACATGTCCACTGCAGTACACAAGAATGCAAGCTTAAGAGGAGCTGTGCTATTAATCCTGTATTAATCATCAACGCGTACATATAGGTAGAACAACCGCGAATAACCATCAAAAGTTAAAAAACAGAGTAAAGCCTTGCAAACGAGTTTTTCCCTCAGTTCCAGTTCTCCTCTTGCAACAAGACCCACAAGAAGACGAAAAGAAAGCCCAACAAATGAGTGGAGAAGCGGCAGCAACGTTTTTACTTGTGTAAAAAATATCGGGAGTAGGTGATGCCATCACACCGCACACATGCGCCGAACTCTTTGCTTTGCTCTTTCAGGAAATTCAAGCTGCTGTCACCAGCAGTCGACTCCGGAATTCCTTCGCGAGCGCGTACTCGTGAGTATACATACCTACAGCAATTTCTCTTTCCTTAACAGAAGCCGTGGAAAAGACATCAGAGAGTAATAAAGAATATACTTAGTGTCTCGTTACTTGTATACTTACCACCTAACTTACATCTCGTTTGTTGCCCTCGCTAGTTAGCCTTGTATACCTAGGAGTATGTATTTTCAATACATGGGCTTGTGACTTCTTCTTCACCAGTGATGCCAGCAGGCGTTTAAAAGCTCGCAATTTGTTCTTCTTGTCTGCGGGACGAATTTTAAAAAATTTTCAAGAAACCCTACAATTTGTAGTTTGACGGTGAATTTGTGATATTTTTTATGCTGGAGAGTGAGGAGCTCGACAATATGTTAATGGGTAAGTTTATAATAAATACTTAGTTGTACCTGCGAGGAAGTTTCTTTATTTCATAAAAAAATGTTAACTGTGGCATTTTTTAATATAACATTAATTATAGGTGTAGGGACGTTTGAGTATGAACAATGCCGGTGCATGATCGAAAAGTGTCGAGTGTGTTTAATTACTTCGAATCATGTCGTCTAATTAATAAATAACACGGCGTGTTGTGTTTTCAGAGAGAAACGTCTGTTGTCTACGAAATATTAAGTTGTAAGAACAAAAATTTAATGGTCTTGACGCGTAAAAAATTTGTTCATTAAAGCAGAATTGAGACCTCATAAATCACTCACTTATTGAGCAAAATTTTTTGTAATTACTGTTTTACATGGAATCTAGAGTAAAAAAGGCCAAACATAATAGTGTCCGTATTTGTTCGGAATATAAAAATAGATGATTCAAACGATAGTCAACGCTAAACTTTTGAAAACTTTTGTTTATAGATTTTATAAAACACACATTAGATGACGAATGATAATTAAGTTAAACAATCCAATGATGTATTGGAAAGCCATGAAATCTATCTTTTTTTTATTTAAGTTGTCTGTGGGTACAAAAAATGTTGATTTAAAACCCGACTACATCTGCATGTAATTGCATCAAATGGCCATGTAACCAGTACCTAGTATACTTATCAAATGCACCGGGGACTCAAGACTAAACGGCTACTTTCGATAACGATATTGACCGACGAACGATACTTACTTTTACTCTTGAAAATAAATAGGTTGTAAGTATACCTGTTGAGCAAAGTTGTGATTTTAGATTTTTTTGTATAAGTACGAGCACCAGACTAATGGCCAAAAATTTGTGAAGTATATTCAAATAATGTCAGCAGAGAAAAGGAAAATCATTGCATTCATGATTCATGCATCATTCTCGCTTGTGTGTGTTGCCACATTTTCAACATGTACTGATGTACTTATATTAGGTATATTATCCCACCCACAAATCCTACAAATAGTACAAATACAATCCACGACCCTATACTTATTTTTAAATAGGCCATCTTTCTCTTGGACTGCTGGACATACACTTTTACGCAACTCGAGGGCGAAAAAGCAGACAAATTTTCTTCACGACTTGCTACTTGCTCATGGAGTGTGCATGCTGGGCATTAAGGCCTATATAGTATATATATTAGGTGTATAATCTTTAAGAAATATATATAATTTTACCGACTCCGATTTTCCTTCTACCCTATAGAACTTACATTATACCGTCGACCGAAACGAAAATACTTATAAATACTCAATCGCGAGTGTTCATAACGCAAAGATAACGAGAAGATATATACTTTGTACCTGTATATAAAAATGAGATGACGACGCGGTGCGCAGCATAACCTCAAACGAGTATAAATCAAGGTGTAGAGTGCATAGAATATATATGTACACTTATGTCTATATACAGAAGAGAAGAAGAGGAGCATTTAAGGAACGTATACACAAAATAGAGCATATTATTTTGAAAAAATCAGCTGTGAGTGATATTTCGGAGCTTAGAGCACAAAAAGAAATAACGTGGACGATAATATCTGTAATTCTCGACTGCTGCTCTCCGTTTTTTCTTTTACATTTTAAGTTAAAGCCAATGCTGCCGCGGACAGAGTGTCTTCTTGTCTTTCATCAAGGATTACGTGCATCCTGTAGATATTTTATCGGCTGTTAAAATACTTAAATAAATCTGATTCATCTCTTACCAAATATTTTGTTCGTAATTTCAGTGAAAAGTGCGTGGTTTTGAAGTCGTGTCATTTCGGAGCAGAGGTACAGAAAAAAAAAATCACGAAAAGGTGTGGTGGTGGTAGCTAAGTGTGTGTATACATATATATGCACAATATATTATATACTGCAGTGTGTAGTGTTCAAGTACAATATCAGCGTCAGTGCCCTCGTCACTTTTGACAGCAACAATTATAAACGTTATTAATTGATTGATTCATTATTTAATTAAATACGTCAGCTTAATCTCGAGGCAACACACTTGTAAAGATAAAAACAATCAGCTGGTTTCAAATAGTGGCAAGAAGAAAAAGTGATATTAAAATACATCAGTCGTGATCCCCTTGCAGGTAATTTTGTTTTTTGTTTTTCTTTTATTTTCTGACGAGACAAACTCCATTCTAACAATGCATTAAGTACGGTCGTTTTATTTTTACTTTGGTATACCCTTATACAATATAGCTCCGCTCCTAATGTAACGGGAACATTTTTGGTACGCAGAGGAATGCAAGGCCCATAACCTCAAAAGACAAGTGCTAGTATAATAGAACTCAAGCTCACACGCCTTTTAAGCATTCCTCTGGTGTACACTTTAATAAGTATGTCCATTATTACACATACAAATTATCTTTCTGCCCCTCCTCCCCCCACCCTCCAGTAGACATAACTGTAAGTACTACTTAAATAGTTTTTCCATGCCTTAAGATCTTAAAATAAGACCAATTTGATTATTATGCATAACTCTTTACTCCTATCAGTTCAAAAGATCGTTTATTTATTTATTTTTTTTAATTTTTAAAAGCGCGCTCATCTACTTCACCTTATCGATCTTCACACCACCGGCATAAGTAGTATACATATATGAAGAGATTGAAAAGATGTATAGATCATATATATATATTTTACTACCACATCTAATACATATGTCATGATCATGATGGTTCCTATAAAACTTGTATAGCTGTACCCATATGTTTGTCGTTCTAACAAAAGAGAAAAAAGAAAGGCGGAAAATGACAAAAAAACCTTATGGACAAGAACTACCTCTTTTTTATTTTAATGTTCGTATATGGACACACTCTCACGCCTGTCCTGAAGTCATTTGATAAGAGCTCTGCTGCTTCTTCGCCCAAGTATATACTTGTATTGTTTGCTCGATCGATAGTATAATAGAGGTGTGGATGACACCTAGACCCAAAAGTTTTTAGTGTGAGAAATATATTAAAATGCGTTGATAATGAAACATTTTTTTATTTGGGTACAAAAGAATGGGAATGTCATTTAGAAGCAAGTGTAAGTGGTGGAACAGAGTAAGGGGAATGCCAGGCACGCTTTTGCTGCCAGAAAATTAATGAGTATAAGTACGCGCTGGTACTATGTCTGTAAGTAGAATTCAAAATTAAATTACAATTAGGCGCTCGTTACGGCCTTTTGGTGGAAAACTATGCTTTATTTAGAACTTACCGGCTTAATATTGGAGACGTGTCATTAGTTGAGGTAATGTTTTTTTTTATCATGTTAAAATTTGGATACACCAAAGAAGTATCATAAAAATAATTAATAAAGGGTTAAATCGAAATTTTGAATCACGAGGTAAATCAAAATAATTTTTGAGATTGGGAAAAAAATGTCAATCGTTTCTTGGCTTGAAATCGAAGCTTTTCTCGGTGAAAGTACCAGATCGCGCAATCGGTGGACTACAGTTACACACTTACATGTCAATTCGTTGTTAAGTATTCGAAGAAAAGAAATACCGTATGGTTCTCGTTGCGAAAGTTTTTTCCTTCTCTTTATGTTTGTTGCGCTATAATAAAGAAAATTACCATACGAGCTGTTGTTGTTGTTGTTGTTGTTGTTGTTGTCAACTTTTCCGTTCTGTCTCGCGTCTTCGAGGAAGTTGAAAATTATTGGCCTTAATTATTTTAAACGACCATTCCACCACCGCCGCCGCTCGCATTAAGTATATTACGCCCCAGACGCAACTTCCCCTCTGACGTATCGAAATTGTGCGAGTTTTGAAATCATATTACTTGTGTACACTGATGCCACTGATAAATGCATTTGAACATATGGGATGTGCGAACTTTGGAGCTCTTGAAATTTTTGATTGTACCGTATAAAAACTGATCTTGGCGTTTCTAGTCCCAACTTGGTAATGTCGAAGAAGCACGAACATCATCGAGCTTTGTTGTTTTCAAGGTATAACCCAGTCTATCAAAAAAAGAAATTCAGTGCAGAGAGTAAGTACACGATCCAAATTGGGAGTCCAAGACCACAAAATTATGTAAATTTTGAATGAACTCGACCTCGACATGAAACTACAGTATATAGTTATTAACCAAACTTATAACTCAACGTATACTTACTATACTAGGCAACACATTTTATTTTTGAAAATTTCTTCTTTATATGACCATTTGATTGACGATCGAATCATCATAATTCAAACAAGTTGTGAGTTGATTCAACTTCTGGGCCCTTTAAACAATAAACTCCATATATTTAGAGAGATTTGACGCATCGAACTTTGTATTAGATTGTTCTTAAACAATAATATACACATTTGAGAGTAGTTACATTATTTATACCAACTTGAGTTTTTTTGATAGCTCTTGTATGTTCTCAAACTTGTTTTCTTGCACTTGTCTTGTATATGCACGTAATATCAGCAAAATGTAGATAAAAGAACAACAATCAAGAATTGAAAAAAAAACATGACCTGTCTCTTTCCGGATTACGCAACGACAGGCATATCCTTGTGCTCTGCGTGACACTGTGTGGCACATGTCTATGACTGTACGGCACGCGTGAGGAGCCGATCTGCATTTCGCGAGCCATCTACTTAATTGATGTAATTTTTTTTTTCTTTTTCCCGCTACACGCGCTATATACAACGCAAGTCACTGCTACTGCGTAAGTACAACTGTACGGAAAGAAGGAAGGCTTTTCCGCGATTCCTGCATACGCACCATACTTACTTATGTATACAGGCATGAAATTCATTCTCTACACGATAACGTGGAATTTCATTGCTCGAAAGACATTAGCTGGCGTAAGAAAAAATTTCAGGTTTTTTCTTTTTTTTTGAGAAAATTTTGACGAAAGTCAAGATACATACAGGTGTACACGTGCACGTAAATGCGCATCGATGATAACATCTCGTGTATGGGGGGGGGAGGATCCAAGGTGAATGGGGTGGATTTATTTTTAATCGAATAAAAATTGCTCTATTCAAGGTGAGGAAGAAAAAAAAAAAAAAAAAAAAAAACAAACATCGGTCTGATGAATTATTAACTTCCGCCGTGTGTAACTTCTCAGTCGAGGATAGTTGTTGCAACTTGTATACGCATAAAAATATAATATGGGAAGCAATTTTATTGATAAATCACCGTACGAACGTGTCACACCTACCGCGGCAAACGCCGTTTAACGCTCGATTAATTGAACTTTGCCGGGCCTGCCGGCCACTTTAGCTAAGGAAGTTACTTTACCGCGAATCCAATACCCTATAGAATCCATGTGTATACTTATTGTGTATGCGTCAACACACAAATTGTATCATCATCACGTGCGAAGGTGTATACAATTAAACCTTTTGATATGATATGTATACAGTCACGCGAACGATATACTGTTTTACTTTAAACCACCGTGTAATGATCATATTTAGCAGTTTATAATTTGTACGCGTATATTTATGGCAATCGAATCAGAGATATGGCAATTATATTTTATTATCGTCAAGCATACAATTTCGTTTCAATGCTATACGGGGAAATTATACTTTTTGAAACGCATCACAATAGCGTTTAATATGTATACCTAACCGCTCGACAACCCTGGAACTTACGACACGTCTGTTTTAAAAATAGAAAAAAATAATGATAGGTAATGAAAACTGCAGTTTTTTCTCTCTTTCTCTGTCGAAAGGAAAAATCAAAGTAAGTTCTCGAGGCTCTCTCTAACCGTACCCTGTTGAATGACATGTGCGATAGAAANTAATACAGGATTTAGGATTAAGTAAGTGGTTTTATTATTGGATCCAAGACTATACACACAGGCACGATCCATCTATTAAAATTAAAAAAAAAAAAAAAAAAAGGATTATTGCATTATTTAAAATGTACACACCTGTTTGAGAGTACCTATATATACATCAAAGCTTGCCTTTTAAATATGCAAAAGGTATTATATACGATCGTGGCCTCTTTTTTTCCGATTAATTTTTAACAATATACCCCTCTGCAGTGTTACTCACACATAACTCGAAATGAAATCCAACATTGCCGTTGTGAGGGTACATATAATTACATGTAGCTCGAAAAAAAAAAAAAAAAAAAAAAACGAACGCAATCACGTTTACAGGGTGGTTGTGGAGGTAAACAATAGATTTTCGCTCTCGTTCGCCAAACGGCTCGTAAATAAAAAAAAGCGCTCGCTCGCATGCTGATCTCTAGTTTCCGGTCTCTACTCTCGTAAAAAAACGAGCTCACGCGGAGGAGTTGCAATTAAGGAGCGCGCCAGCATTGTGTGCACAATATGTTTACACGGTATGCTAAGTACTTAGCCGCGGAGAGGAAACAATCGACAGAGAGAGAGAGAGACACTCGGTTTTACGTCCGATTTGAGAATTATTGCGTGATTGGGCATGTAATATGTTGAACGTGTATATATACGCGCGCGTCGGCGGATAATAAGGAGAGCCATATCATATATAGACGTCTGCAACAGGTTCGCGGGCGTATACTGCTGTACACAATATAATATACAATAGCTCTCCGCGAAATCGTTACGTCATACAATTGCGGCACGCGCCTCTTTTCAATCTATCGCCCTCGAGAACTTTATTGCACAGGATAAAAATGCATGCGCACAATAGTGTCTTCTTCTTCTTGTCGACTCTTTTTTTTTTTTTTTTTTTTTTTTTTTCGAGCACCTGCATTGTTTACGGGTGTATTTTTTTTTTTTTTTTCAATTCATAAGACAATGCGTTTCGTTAATTTGAAAATATTACATCCAAAGGTTGACAAGTGACTTTTCGTATTTTTCTTTATGAAGTTGAAGTTGGTGATTTTATCTTTGGATAATATGTATTTTTGTTTTTTTTAACGAGTTTCAAGAAAATTGATGACTCGGTGCTGTATGCCCGTAAAAACATGAATACATTTAAATTGTTAAATCTGTACTGCATTGGTTGCAAATTTTTTTACTAGATTTGAACAAAATGTCTATTGTTACTTGACGCGTGATCTATCAAAACGCGATAAATTATGAAAAATGTCATCATTCAGTATAATTATTAGTTATTCATTGTGATGTATGAAGATGACCTCGTACAATATTGCAAAACGTATTGTTTTATCCGTGCTCAAGTTTACTCTTCTTTTTGTACTTGAGATTTTTGGTGTCTCTTTGAAAACCAAAGGGAGAGAGAGGGGGGGGGGGGTCATTTGTATACACAAAAAGAGAAGTGACTCGATATCTGCATGCACTTTTGGCTTTGCGGAATAATGCGATGGCGAAAAATTAGGTCGCCCAAGTCGCGTTGAACCGACGTACTGTATAGTCTTTTTCTTTTCTTCTATGTATGTATACGTGCAAGTACTTACTCACTGTCTTACTTAATCGCTTACACACGTCGTTGACTCACAAACGCGTGTGAAACTTTCGTCGCCAGCTGTACATCGCCACGACTGTAGTCCTTTCCCTTATTCTTATTCTAACAAGGAGTTTTCACACGCACGTCTTGAGAGTAATTTTTTATTAAAATGTTTTTATTACAGTTCCGCAATTAAAGAGTTGGCGCATGTGTGTGGTACGTAGGAAAAACTAGCGAAGTAACGGATAAGAGCTGTAGTTGGAGGAAAAAAAAAAAAAAAAAAAAATTTGAATGGTAGATTTCTCAGTGTATATGGTATAAGGCACGAGTGTTAAAAATTTATCAAGTCTATGAATAGCTTTAACGTAATCGCGTTATTTTTAGTGCTGGAAGTGCATAGACCAGAGAACTTTTGTTCGACCTAATCGGCGGCTCTGGCTTTCTTGAAAAAAAATTACGTAGCATTTTAACGTCGCTGCTTATCGTGTTTTCTACAGAACGCTGCAACGTGTGTGCGTAGTATGTTACTCTCTACCTAAAGTTTTTTTTTTTTAAATAATTTGTGAATTTATGAATTCTAGTAGTTTGTCATTAACGTAAGTTTAACGTACCTTAGACTACCTCTTTTTTGATTTATATGAAAACAAAAATAATTTTTTCATTCTTTTTAGAGCATTTAAGTCTAAGATTTTTTTTTTTTTTTTGGGCTATCATCTTATTTGGCAGAAGAAATTAAATTTTTTTAACTATCATAAGTGTACTTAACTATTAAGATATTTGTCAAAATATGTCATAAAACACCGAATTTTTTCGGAATTTTAATTTTTTTCAATTTCTTTAAACATTCCGCGCGAAACTAAATTGGCGTTACCCTACATATTGATTGTAACGTTATTCTACAATAGTTTCAATATCAAACTTGATAACATTAAGGCAAAACCTAACTATTTTACAACAGGACTGGGCTAAAAATGTTAATTAGTTACACAGTTTCATCTACGGTATAAGACAACCGAAACATTTGAAAATCAATAGTAGAAAAAATGTTTTTGTACACTAGCATAATGCATAATGCACTGATTTATATTTTTTTTAATAATCAGTAGACAACTATATGCATAAAAAAATTACCTGTTGTAATCCTTNAAAAAAAAAAAAAAAAAAAAAAAAAAAAAAAAAAAAAAAAAAAAAAAAAAAAAAAAAAGAAGCAGAAGAAGATTTTTCTCCTTTCCTTTGAAGTTATAAAAAAAGTACACACACCTTCATCCGCCGCGAGCGAGAAGAAGCAGGAGGCGTTTTTTATTTTTAATTTCCACGCGCCGCTCTTTCTTTCGTTTTTTCCTTTCTCTCGGCTTCGTTCGTTAGTATATATATATATAAGTAGTATAAGCAGTCGTCTCTATACGAGGAGTCAATGAATGAACATAACGAGTTTGTTCTCCTTGAAGCCACGTGCTCGAGCTCGTGTTACATTTCAAACTAATTGATATCCGTTATGTAAAAAAAAAAAAAAAAAAAAAAAAAAAAGTGAAATGATGCAAGTGAAAAGCGTCACTTTTCACGTTTAAGTACTCACGCTAACATATCTGCTGCAACGAGCCATACCGTATAATACTTCGATAAAGCAAGCGATTAAGTGTAGTGTGCTTTTCATCCACTTTAATTGGGCTAATACATTTTTTTTTTTTGTAATTCAATTCATTGAAAAAAGAGTAATGTCGATCGATATTTCACCGAAAATATTGTTGCACGAAAAACATTGTAAAGTCAAGTTGGGTAGTATAAAATTAACGAGTATATTTATGGTATCTTTTATAATAATTAATACTTATAAAAAAAAAATAATTAAAAAAAATGCATAACAGATGTATGAACAGGAAAAAGGAAATATCGATGCTGTGAAGTACGATGAGTAGTTGTTAGCCGATGCAGGGTATTTCCAGTGTCAAGGAGCGTTAACAGACTCGTTTTATTATTGTTTTTATCCATATTTTTTTTTTCCTCGCTCTAACTCTGATGCTACAGAGACAAGAGAGAGAATATTTTCAATGTCGCCTGTGGTTCGTTCGGTGGAAGTTTTTTTTTTTTTTTTCTTCTTCATGCAATGTTATCGCCAAGCCTTTGTGTGCGCGGTGAATTATAAAATAAGTAATTAATACGTCTTTTTTTAAATTACATAATATACGTATACAACCAGATGGGAAGCAACGGGCATAACTAACGTTTTTCTAATTTCTTTTTTTAGCGCAAAAAAAACCAGAAGATACTTTTATCGCTATTTAAGAAAGAGGCCGCTCGGCAAACGAGTGGATACGAAGCGTACAGGAAAAACTCGAAACGAGGTTTCTATCAAAAATTTCTTTTTACGCGTGACTGCTTCCCAAAAGTGTCACTACTATTTTCGCAAGGGTAAAAATTCTGTTGAGGAGTTGAAAAAAAAAAAAAAAAACTTTGCTATAGTAAATCGGCAGAGCTCCGAGGAAAAAGAGCAAATCGACGTTTCACATAATCGCGTTCCGAAAAAAATTTGTAGATTTTACTCAAGTACAGCCTTTTCTGTGCCACAAACTTTTATTTAAGAGGCCAAACAAACGCTTCAGCCAATGTCTTTCGTCAAAATGCACGTAGAAATTATTTTCCAGACATTGGTAATACAGGATTTAGGATTAAGTAAGTGGTTTTATTATTGGATCCAAGACTATACACACAGGCACGATCCATCTATTAAAATTAAAAAAAAAAAAAAAAATGTTTGGTTGCCGAGTAAAAATACAGATGACAGACGGAAGCTTTCGATAACAGAGAACAATAGAAGAAATAAAAGAGATTAAATATATAATAGGTACGCCGAAGCTGTAAATAACTTCAATTAAAATCGTGATCGTCCGAGTGAAGCGTGTATGCATGAAGCTCCCGATGAATTTTTCGAAAAAAAACTCGGGGCTAATAATAACGCGTGGATGATTCTGAAATACCTACATGCCGTTACACACGACGATGAGAATATAGCAATTGCGCAATGATAGACCGTGGCTTCGATAAAACAATACAACTTATTGATGTTTTTCGTTTGTTTGTTGCAGATCCACGTTAGAGGGATACCGAAGAGAGAAAGAGAGAGAGTTTGCCGTTGCATCGCAGCGAGCCGAAGCTGAAAAATTTTCCAGGAGCATTTCCATGACAGGCAGCCTTATGAGGACCTCGCAAAAAAAGTCTTTTTACGTCAAGTTAGTACATACGTTTTTTTTTTAACCCTTACTAAAGTACATGATCCTGATTTGAGTCCTTACTCCCTATAATATATAGTTATACATACTCCCCCCGTCTCTTGATCCGGCAATTCGTGGCGGCTAATTTAAATTACCAACCACGTGGGGGAGAGCTATTCCTCTCTCTTTCTCTCCCGTTCAAGGCGAGAGCTTTGAAAATCAATAACCAACACTTCCCCGTTCCCATGAACATCATATGTGTATATACTGCACACAAAACAAAAATACGGTGATACACGTGCACCGTGCGTGACATTTATTATTATAATAATGATAAAACATAAAAAATAAAGATGAGAGGGAAAGAAGAAAAAAAAAAAAAAGAGGATTATTGATTTAAAGGACGCTGTTCAATTACGACCCGAACAAGGACGACGGGCTGCCGTCGCACGGACTGGCGTTCAGCTACGGGGAGATACTGCACGTGACCAATGCCTCGGACGACGAGTGGTGGCAGGCCCGCAAGGTCACGGCCCTCGGCGAACAGGAGGCCCTCGGCATCATACCGTCCCGCAAGCGCTGGGAGCGCAAACAGAAGGCTCGTGACCGCCAGGTCAAGTTTCAAGGACACATGCCCGTTATCCTCGATAAGGTTTGCTTTTTTTTTTTTTTTTTTTTTTTTTTTTTTTTTTTTTTTNTGAAATGCTAATTATTTTTTTTTTTTTTTTTTTAATTTATTTTACAAGATATTGCCGATGATGACCCGCAGGATATACGTGCTTTTGATTGATTTATTTATTCTATTTCTCTGGAATGTAGGAAAACCGTAGCTTATACTTTGGGGGAGGTGGGTTTTTTCATCGACATTTCAGCGCTACCCTCCAACGTATTTCATTGAACTTCGGACTTGCTCAATAACGCGCACAATGGAGCGTTTCGTATAGCCGGCAGCGATTACTCGGTCATCGGAGCTTCCGGACGTTGCTGTGTACGTTACATCCGCGTGTATGCAAAGTCACTTGAGAGAAGAAAAAAAAAAAAAAAAAAAAAAGAAGCAGAAGAAGATTTTTCTCCTTTCCTTTGAAGTTATAAAAAAAGTACACACACCTTCATCCGCCGCGAGCGAGAAGAAGCAGGAGGCGTTTTTTATTTTTAATTTCCACGCGCCGCTCTTTCTTTCGTTTTTTCCTTTCTCTCGGCTTCGTTCGTTAGTATATATATATATAAGTAGTAGATCGGGGAAGGAGCCTCGCAAATTAAATTCTTCAACCCCCCCTATAAGTACTGAACAATGTGTATGATGTATGCTTACAATGTGCATTGCGTTCTTACAGCAGCAGTCGACCCTCGAGAGGAAGAAGAAGAATTTCCCGTTCGGACGGACTTTGCCGTTCTCCAAGCACAAAGACGGCAAGTCCGAGGAGGGCTCCGTGCAAGACCGTAAGTTTCAAACCCTTTATGCAATGTGAAATTCGTTTTTTTTTTTTTTTTTTTTTTTATACTCAAGTGTGCGTTAAGTGAGAGTGTCTTCTCATGGGATCAATGCCTCTTCAATTGTATTTGTTATGCGGGAAATTTTACATCGCGTAGATTGTTACTGTTACAAGGCGGTAATTATTTACTTGGTCGGGAATATTCATGTTTTTCGTGTTGTAATTTTTTTTTTTTTTTTTTTTTTTTTTTTTTTTTTTTTTTTTTTTTAGAATGTTCAAGTGTAGGTAATTAATTATTCATCGAGTCTCGAGAGTTGTGCGTGGGGTGTAAAATTTGCGTGGAAGAGGGAGTGTATTTTTTTTCTTTGTGTTTTCAGAGATAACAAACGAGAACAAGAGCAAGAACGCCGATGGCGAGGAGAGCGTCTTGTCCTACGAAGCCGTCCAGCGGGTGACCATACAGTATACACGGCCGATTATAATTGTCGGTCCACTCAAGGATCGTATCAACGAGGATCTCATCTCCGAGTTCCCCGACAGATTCGACAGCTGCATACCACGTAATTTTTTTTAAATTTTGTCGCTCTTTTCCTTCCTTTCTTTATTGCTAAAGTTTCCTTTGATTTAATTAATATGAGATTTTTGTCGATTCAACATTTACACATGGCTAAATTTACTCGGTGTACGTGTTTGTGAATAGCGTATTCTTTTCTGGTACAGATACAACAAGGAGTAAGAGAGAATACGAGGTGGACGGTCGAGACTATCATTTCGTTGCATCGCGCGAACAAATGGAAAGAGACATACAAAACAATCTTTTTATTGAAGCCGGACAGTACAACGATAATATTTACGGGACGGCGCTTGCGTCAGTGCGAGAAGTCGCTGAAAAGGTATCATACATTGTGAACTCAATGTTAAGATTTCTTGCAAACAAGTTAACTTTTTTTACTGTTCAGGGAAAACATTGTATTTTGGACGTAAGTGGAAATGCCATTAAACGACTGCAAGTGGCGCAGCTGTATCCCATCACTATTTACATCAAACCCAAGTCGGTCGAGTCTATCATGTAAGTATTTTTCAAACTAATTAATATGATTGTTATTAATTGTCGATTGACAAAATCATTGATTTTTGATGAACTGGCTTTTAGGGAGATGAATAAAAGAATGACCGAGGAAGAAGCTAAAAAAGTTTTTGACAGAGCTGTAAAGGTCGAACAGGAATTTGGAGAATATTTTACAGGTACTTATCAATTCATTTTAATGAAAACATCATTTTTAGGATGACACTTTAAGTACGTATAATTTTGATTTCGTATATTTTAGCAATTGTACAAGGCGATACACCCGAAGATATATACTCAATGGTAAAAAAAGTCATAGCCGAGAACTCGGGCCCGACGATTTGGATTCCTTGTCGAGAGCAACAGTTGTGACCTCCTCTATCCCCCAGTAATTCACTCTATAATTAAAATAGGATAATTCGTTTATCGTGCCTTTGAAAAAATAATTTTAGATCTGAAATGGAATAAAAAGATGTATCGTGGTTAAGTGTTATCACTGTAATCGTCTCTCGTCGCATCTGTTCTCTTAGCATCTTTCTCACTATTTTTATTTCATTACTTTTTGGGAGTTCATGATTTTCATCTCTTGTCAATAGTTACCTATGAATAACAACAGCTGCGTTCTAGTTGCATTCCTGTGCCAAATGCGGTTTTCTTGAACGCCTCCATTGTAACAGTATTGACAGCGACCCTTTAGGTGTCGTTGGCAAAACAACAAAGAAAAAAGAACATTTTGAAAAATAATAGTATTTGCATAATTCAATGCTTACTTAACTTTTACTTTTTTTATGTCTGTGAAAAAAAAAAAAAAAAAAAAAAAAAAAAATAGTATGTAACGAATTTTTCCGCCTATGCATTTAAACGAAAATGATAAAAAATAATTTTACTGTGTACATAACTATTTAATGTTATATGTAAGTTAAAAAAGAGTATCTGTATATAAGAAATATGAATGTAAATTGTAAATACATAGTTTGTAGAGATACCAATCTATTATCTTCTCTGTTGATGCTAGTGTATATTTATTTCAGCATCGTTAAAACAGTAGATAAATGAAAATAATTACTAAATGATAAATAACGCTATACTTTCTTTTGAAAGAGCAAAATGGAAATTAATTTTTGGTGCAGCTGATTCTTCTTAAGACAATGTATTACTATTGCGCTAATTTTATTAAGTTTATCTCTGTTGTATAAATTATATCACGAGCAGCAAGTTTTCCATTTTTTATAATCTAAATGAATTATGTAGTAGTTTAGTTATAGTAGATGATACATGTCAAAATGAAGTACCGATTAATGGAATAACACATTAAATTTTTATTTTATGTACGTCATATTGTAAACCAAAATACTTTATGTTTATTGTTATTGATGAATAAAAAACAATGTGTAACAATAAATTACGACAATTATACAAAATCAATCTATTAAAATATACGATTAATTAAAAATAAACATTATAGTCAGCACTTGTGTACATACATTTTCTCCTTTTCATGAGCTTTGAGTAATTTTTTGTTATAAAACTACATAAAACATTTTTAAACTGTGTTTAGAAAATCTGTTACAATATCCATACTGTATTACTGTGCTACGTTGCAAGCGTTGAAGAGTGTGTGGGAATAAAATAGCAAAATAAAAATATTTATAATAAAAAGAAAGATAGATAGATAGATAGATAGTATCTTTATTGGCATGAAATATACATATACATATACAGCCAGAAAAAGAAAGATGGAGAGGACACATGAGTGAATTCCATCTTACGTCGTAATAAAATAATATTATGATCTTTGATAAGGTAGTTTCCTATGCGCGCTCTTGGTGCATTGTTTTTTTCGTTCCCCTCACACTCACACAACACTCAACTGAACGTTTGATTTTGAAGCCCAAGCGCGGCGTGGACAATAGGGAGATTTTATACCTATAGTGTAGGTGTATAACCCTACCGACGTACCATTTACCAACTTACTCATCGGCTCCACAGTTCGGCCAGTGCACGCGAAAGTTTGTCGGTGAAGTTTCTCGCTGCACAGTAACTCAGATCGGAATTATAAAGTTTGAAGACATTAACGACAGTCGTTCAAATACTTTGAGGAATCGGAGTGAATCGGTTGACAGTTACTTATTATTTGGATCTTTAAAGTGCAAAATCTCAAAGGTGAGTTTATTACAAATGTCACACTGATTTAGCGAGTTTACAAGAAAGCATTTTCTAACCTAACAGCTTTCACGGATATGAGATGTGTATACACTTACCTAATTAGACAGTGGAGATTACGGAGATTACGTTGTTTTTGGAGTTTGATATAAAGTGGTACTAAGTATGTATATAAAAGTGCTCCACTTTATCCAATTTTGTTTGTAAGCTTTGGAGGCTTTGCATTTGAAGTTCAGGTACTTGTTTCTGTTTACGTTTATTGTTCATTTCAAAGCGGCGGCTTTATTACTGAGTTCGGTTATCTTTACGACTGACAATAAACCGAAATATTCTAGAATGATGCGTATTTTTTATAAAAGGATCGATGTGGTGTCCGTAAAAAATTGATTTAATCTTCATTTTTCAATTAATTTTAATTTACATGGTAAGCTTAAATCAAGTTCTTTCTACAACTACTTACAAGCATGACCCTTTAAAATTTATAATTCTTCAATATGTAACACTGTCGATTCAATTTCATATGAATAATCACAAAATACAAAAGTAAAATAAAATTGGCTAACTTCAAAACGAATTCCCAAATATTATTTCACTGAAAAATCGTCTCACATCAAAAGCAATATACTTACCATAAGTATGTAACACGCGGTTGCTCAAAATCTTCAAATACATCAAGGTGATGCGTGTAAATCTGTGTATGCGCAACTTAGCTTTGCGGTACCACTTATAGGTGATGATAACTTATCCGTGTATGTACATCTGAAACAGCTAGTAGTGGGTGCACGTCGCAAACGTGCGTGTACTGTGTCGCTGGTCGCCAGTAACCTTCGTGTATATTCTTTGTTGACGATTTATACTTTGCAAGAGCGTACCTAATATCAAAAAAGAATTATCTCGTTTCTTCTCGACACCTTTAATTGAGTACATCATTGTATTTGTACAAAAACTAGTATCAATATATCTGTATTCTTTTCGAGAACAAATGTCATAAGTCGTCCCAACATCGTCTGCAGGTCATTGAAGGACCAACAGACGTCGAGCTTTAGCAGATTTTTATTTGTCAACCATGGATTTTTTCTATAGAGCAGCCCCACGGGCTATTGTATTAAGATAAATTTGTCAGTCATTAATTTAAAGGTGAATTTTTGGGCAGTAACTTTTGACGTTTGTTTTATCTTAGAGTTGCATATTACCAAACACAAAGTTTTACATGTTTTTTTTTTTTTTTTTTTCTTGCCTGATTACGACTGCTAGTTTTTTTTATCTACTTAAACCAATAACTTTTTTAAATATATGTCAAAATAAGCAATTCTTTATACTTAGTATTTTTCATTGTTCCAATGCATATGTAAGAAAATTGTTTCAGATGGCCACTGCTGAATCATTGGCTGACATGACAGATGTCTCTCAAATTCTAAAACAATGGGAGGAAGACCAAAATTCACCTACTTACGATCCAATACCAACATTACAACGCTTGGCTGAAATAATAGAACAAGAAACTGAAAACTATCACAAAATGGACCCTGATCCGTTCGATGAAAGGCATCCCTCGAGGACAGATCCAGACTGTAACTTTGGACATATTCTCAAAGTTTTGTTCAAAAAAGATATTTTTATGACTAAGGTTGGACTACATTCTCTTACTCATTGTATTTATGACTTTACTGTTTAATTCGTTATTTAATACATAATTTTTTTCTAGTTAATAAATGATTATTTAAGAGATAATTACTGGTTAAGAGTTGGTATAACAAACAGAGATGTAAGAGAATTAAATACATCAGCCTGCCGATTAATGTTGGACATTCTTCCGGGGCTTGAAACATCAGCTGTATTTCAGCCTGATATGGAGACTTTGATTCATAGGCTTTTTTCTTGGGCTGAAAAAAGTTCTGAACCACTGCAGAGCTATGCAACAGGTTTGTTAGCTGCTGCTATGGAAGTTCAAGATATTGCCACAGGTTTTCGTGAACAAAATGGAAAAATGGTACCTCTAATGCTTAAAAGGTTGCACGAGTTACAAGAAGAGGCAGCGGAAGAAAGACAGCAAGCAAATGCATGTCGGCCTTTTGCTCACTTGGGCCAAAATCGATCAAACAGCGGCTTGTCGGACTCTGAAAAAAAATCATTTCCTGGAAAAAGAAAAGTGAAAGACAAAAAGCTGCTAAATGGTTTATTAAAAAATGAGCCTCAGCTCTCGGATTATTCATCGTCCGAGGGTGAGGCAGAAAATGATAACACTCATGAAAATCCATCATCGCCGCCCTTAAAACGAACCAGATGTGAAAGTGAACAGGCAGCACCAGTAGAAAAAAGTAATTTGTATCTAGAACTTATGTCTCCCCCTGCTACTGTACCTATGAACACACCAAAAAAGTCTGTCAGCAACGCTCAGGTAACAATTTTATTCTTTAAGTGGAACTTTTTGTAAATATTCCTTTCAAATAATTGGTTTTACTTTGTAGAACGCAAATATTTCTTTCAAATTATTGATTTTATTTCGTAGAACACAACGTCACCAAAAGAAAAAAATAATGAGTGCAAGGGTAGCTTTAATTCTCCACTGACAAACCAAAATTTGAAACTTCCTAAAAGCCCATGGTCTAAGACACCCGGAAACAAAAACAACACTCCATCCACATTACTTGAAGGTAATTCAAATTCATCTTGGGCTGAAATGGAATCTTATGTTATAGGAAATATTCAAATTTATCCACCAACTTTAGCTACAAGACAAATGCTTATTCTCAGGTGAGACAATTAAATAAAAACGTATTAATTATGCTTTTTTTAACGATAAAATTTTAAATGTAAAACGTAAAAATCCGTAGGTATCTAACACCTATGGGTGAGTATCAAGAGTTTCTAGGTCACGTTTTTGAACAAAATTCTTTGGAGCTCATCTTGCAGTATGTAAACGTTCGCGAAACAAAGGATAGTCGGCTTGCTTTTGAAGCCCTTAAGTATTTAGCCTCACTGCTCTGCCATAAAAAATTTTCAATAGAGTTCCTTAGTATTGGCGGATTGCAGCGATTGCTCGATGTCCCAAGGCCGAGTGTAGCAGCTACAGGTGTTTCCATTTGCCTATATTATCTAGCTTATTGCGAAGATGCCATGGAAAAAGTATGTCTGTTGCCAAAGCACGTGATTACGGATCTTGTAGCATACACGCTCTGGCTGCTGGAAAGGAGTCACGATTCGGGCAGGTGTCATGCCACTATGTTCTTTGGCTTTTCGTTCTCGTTCCGAGTAATATTAGACGAGTTTGATGCGCAGGATGGTTTGAGGAAACTTTATAATGTGGTAAATTTTCCATCTTGAATCATTGACCCACTTAATAAAAAAATTTTTTTAATTAACGACATACATTTTTTGAAAGATATCGACATTACCACTTTTGAATATCGAGGAAGAGTCGTCTCTCAACGAAGACGAAGAATGCGCTGCGCGACAAATCGTCCGACACGTAGCTGTGGCTCTAAAAAAATATATGGAAGCTCACCTGTATTGGAAAGCAGAATACCTCCAAAGAATAGAAAATGCAAGAACAGAGCGCGAGTCTTACCAACCGTCTCTGCCTCCTTATAAGGCATGTAAATTGAGCACTGAAGAAGTCCAAGCAAAAATTGAAGTGTTGCAAGAGTTGATGAATATGAGGTCGTTGTGGCCACCTGTGGAACAGCTTCATCGTTTAGGTGGCACTCACATACTGTTTCAGATTATAGGCTGTATTCGTGATTGGAGTGCTGGTGGACGGTTAGTACCTTGAAATTTTTATGAAATCTTTATATTTTTTAAATGAATAGAACTTTAACATGTTATCATTTGTTGACAGTGTAACAACATCGACTGCTGAAACAGTACGTGCGTGCTTAGACGTAATAGGAATATGCTCGGTAGTACCTAAAGTGATGTTATTGCTGTGCGAACGCGTTGAAACGCCCGATACGATAGTGACGAACGCAGTTAATCTTCTACTTGCTGCAGCTGAGTGCGAAATCATCCAGGATCCGGATGTGCAGCGCGCGGCGTTGTATACATTGATAAATTGCGTGTGTGCGCCAACGAGTCGCGCAGGAGGTAATCTTGCTAGGTACTCGGTCACAGGTTCGGCCAAAAAGAAGACTAATGTGCACAGTAGCGAAGAGCTCATACAAAAAATCTGGGAGTGCGTCAGATCGAACAACGGCATCATGGTAGATCTTTGCTTTTACTTAATTATGTACCATAATCTTTAATTTATGAATAATGTATTTTTTTACACAAACGTATGTAAAATATTGTTTTCAGATACTGTTGCAACTAATGATGGTAAAATTGCCGATCACTGACGCAGACAGCATCCGGGCTCTGGCTTGTCGAGCTTTAGCTGGCCTTGCAAGAAGTGAGAAAGTCAGGCAAATCATCAGTAAATTATCAATGTTTGCTGAGGGACAGATTCAAGCACTGATGAAGGATCCAATACTTCAAGAAAAGAGGCAAGAGCATGTAATGTTTCAAAAATATGCTTTGGAATTAATAGAGCGTGTTTCCGGAAGAGCCAAGCCAACGGGTGCTGAGTACGAAATTTCCTTAGCTAGTTTGCACAGGGTAAGTAAAATAAAAAGTTTTCGTGTGAAAAAAAAAAACATGAATATAAATGGAACATTTTTAAAATGCTTCAGGCTAACGTGGTAGCGCAAACCAGAATACAGTACAATGAACAGCAGCTTTTCCAGCTTATACACCAGCATTTGCTATCCAAGGGTTTAATAGAAACTGCAGCAACTTTACAAAGAGAGGCAAACTTTGATTCTTCAACAACAGTCGCTAAAGCCTTGGCGTATCAACAATCCTTTTGTTATAGAAACCCAGTTTCAACAAGTGTAAGTACTTCAATGCGTTCTTTTGATGTGATATGATTTATAAATTAAAAAATAATTATTTCTTTTAAATTTTATAGCCAAGACCAGGTTTCTCTCCTGCAGCTTCTACTAATCTGTATAACACAAGGTGTACACAAAGAGATGCGACGACACGTACAAACACAACTCCAACAACTTCGTCTCGATTTGTCACGCACACTAGTGCAGTTTCTTGTTCTACCCCTGTTGTGAATAATTGCTCTACTAGGTTAAAACTCAACGATTCTGCGAATCAAAGTCCAATTTTAAATAACCAACCTGTCAAGTTGCAAATCAACCCAAAGTAATATACTTTATAAAAGCGTTCATTTATTTTGAAACTTGCCCTCTATTTTATGATTTTTAATTTTGTTTCAGGAAAGCTATAGATAAGCAGCAACAGCAGCTTTCAACGAGTCAAACTAATGTTAATTCTAATACCAGTCAAAGTAACGTTCAGCTTGCAAACAATCAAAGTCAGCAGGCTTTATGTAGATCGTTAATGAAACAGATTTCCCGTGATTCTGTGGTAGTGGCCCCTGTTTTAGGAATCTCAACCACAAATGTTAATACAATCACGTTAGACTCTATTATAACAGAGTATTTGACGAATCAACATGCGCTATGTAAAAATCCTATGGTCACATGTCCGCAGTTTAATTTGTTAGAGTAAGTATTGGTATTTAAACATTGAAATCGCTTATTAACTTTTTGATATTTTAATTGGCTCATTTGCTTTTGCAGACATCACAAATGCCCTGACCCATGTAAAAAGAATTCAGCACCTCTAAACATTGCTATGAGACTGTCAAAGAGGCAATTAGGAATAGACAGTAGACGGCTGGACACAAGGTTTATTTATAGTCGTTTTTGTCCAGTCAAAACCTTCCGTCCTTCAGACATTGATAGCACTTTCACATGTTGTACTTTTTCCGTAAGTATTTCTGCGAGTAAGAATAATACCGCAAGATGTCATTTATCAACATTTTTCAAAATTTTTGTTTTACAGCCTTGTCAAGAGTATCTGTTCCTCGGTACGTACGCTGGAGAAGTCAAAATGTATAACACCAGGACAGGGGTCGAAGAAAACACTTATACCTGTCACGAATCATATCTATCAAATATCGAGTGCAACAGGCGAGGTGATTTACTATTAACTTCGTCACCCTGGCGGTCACCAATGTCAGCACTCTGGACTCTTGGAGCATTTTTCGAAGTTAAAATACAGATGGAAAACGAAGACTACGCCGAATTCAGTAAGCAGCAGGACAGGATCGTTGCTACGTCGAACGAAGTTGCTACGGTATATATTTTATTATTTTTAAACGTCCACTTTCTTTTATTTTAGTGTACATGCTTAATAAATAATCGACTAATGTGGTAATATTTTCAGATATATGATATAAGTACAGGTACAAAAATTAATACTCTCACGCCTAGGATATCAAACCAATACAATAAGAACAAGGCGACTTTCAGTATGAACGATGAGCTGATCCTTAGCGATGGTATTTTGTGGGACGTAAATTCGGGAAAGGAAATCCACAAATTCGACAAATTAAACCAAACCTTAAATGGAGTGTTCCACCCAAATGGTACAGAAGTAGTATCAAACACTGAAGTCTGGGATTTGAGAACGTTTCACTTGCTGAAGACAGTACCAGCACTGGATCAGATGAACATCATTTTTTCACCATGCAATAACATCATATACGCGTTCTCGATTGATCAGGAAAATGAAGAGGAAACTACGTATGCGACGTCCTTCAAAACTCTTGACGCTTTTGATTACAATAGCATTTGTGAGTTTATTTTCTATTTTCGTATCTATTTGTTAAAAACGCATGATCGTTCACCAACGACAAATTATATTTTTTTAGCTACGTTCGACACAAAGCGGGGCATTTACGATCTTGCATGCAATAAATTTGATACGCAAATAGCTATTGTGGAAAATTCCGGTGAATTCGATAGCATACAAGAGTCGTGCATTCGCTTATACGACGTAGGAAGATGTAGGAATGACGAGGATGAGGCTGAGGAAGAAGAGGATGATGAGGAGGATATGGATGATGGTAGTGAAGATGATGGTTCGAATTCGGGGTCTGATGATAACAACGGTAAGTATACTCGTTTTTTGAAAAAAATGTTACGATAACGACGTCGTGATATGTATTGATGATATATTAACAGATGGTGATGGTGGTGATGGAGGTGGAGACGATAATGGTGAAGGTGATGATCGCAATGATGGTGATGATGGCGATGATAACAGCGATATCGACGATTCAGCAGATGAAAGCATAGATTTTCCAGGATTTTCGTCTGATGAATTTGGAATGTCCGACGAGGATGTTGAAATATTGTTCAATTGAAAGGTCTTCATGGCAATGGAATAAAGTACACATGTACGAGAGCGCTGCGTGTCTTATTTGTGACTTATCATTGCTATCGACTCAATGATTGGACACCTTGTGTCAAGATCGTAAATAGAAATGATAATTTATGCTGGTAATATAAACCAGATCCATCGATTGCAAGATAACGTAGAGTATGACATTAAAAGCGAAACATAACGTTTCATTTGATGCGGATTTAAAAAAGTGTTTTTAAAAAGATTTAAATAAGTGTTTCTTGATTACGTATACCGTGTTCCCTCGAATAAATTAAAAACAAATATATATATATATATCGAATCAAGAAAATTAAAGTGGAGTGATTTGTTTTTATTTTAAGTAAGACTATTAAAAATATTTTTATAGTAGCAAGTGTATTCTGTGAATGTTTCTTGCTAAGTCGATTTTAATGGAAAATTGAAGGTGTCTCATGATTTCTCAACATTGCGTCGATTATAATTATTAATTGAGAAAAATGTCACGCGAAAGTGTAAATGACTTTAATGAAAGAATATTTTCTATTTTTCCGTACGTATAATAGGAAAATGCGCGTGATGTATCCAGATAATTTCAATTTACAAATGAAGTGAACGACTTTGTGTGTACAAACAATTCCAAGGAGCTTGATTTTTTTTTTTTTTTTCAATTTCCCGAAAAAAGCGTGTTAGAATGAGAATTATAAGTTACTTCATATAGTTGTCATTAAAGAAATGAGGTTCATCCTCAAAATATGTGACGATACCTTCATTAAATAAAGAATCAATATTATTAAAAATTGTATCTCTGCTTCTTAAAAATATTCTACCTATGTCAGGTGTTCCATAACTTTTTATTAAAATTTGAATCCATATTTGTCCTTTTCCTTGATTTATTTCCACACGTGTACTACACAACAATCATTTCATATAAATGACACAGTAGATTTGTTTACGTTCTCGGATAAACTTGAAGTAATGAAGACATACTTAAGTATTGACAGTATGCTGTGGTTAAATTTTCATGAGAAAAGTATATCCGAGTGAGTCGGAAAACGTTATTTGAACAAACCTTAGATTTCAGATTGATTTTACATTTAATTTCGTAGTTGTGTAGTAACAACACAGTCGTCTGAAAAACTATATTACGTGATTTTTAAGAATTAAAACTTTTTACCGTGGATATTAAACAAGTGATGAGTTGTACAATAAACTGTTATACTATCTCAATCAGCCAAAGTCATCGGATAAAATGGGAAGCATGATAACATTAAGTATGAAAGTTTTCTCTTTTGGTAAATTTTTATTATCAATTTTTTTTTTACAAAATATTAGTTATCTAAATGTATAATATTACGCTCAATAAAAGATAACAAATCGCTACGCCGTCACTGACGAGCTATCCGCGCTATACGTTGCATTTCGTTTAAAAAAAAAAAAAAAAAAGGAATTGAAAAGAACGGCTGTAAATAATTATAAAAAAAAAAACCTTTTTAATATTCGTTATATTTATCATAAAATTACGTCAGTTCACGCATCAAGCGGAAAGACTTTTCGACGCAACCACCACACTGATACATATAATCGACTAAATACTAAATTATATTACGTCCTATAAGCTCGAAAGTGGCTTTATTATGGTCCCCTACTCAAGTAGTGTTTTTCCCACTCCTAGTCTTCGATGAAACGTAAATATAACAAAGACAATAATAGTTTTATACATATTGTACATACATTTTACAGCCGCTCTGACGAATTGTGCCGATAACGGCTCTGCATTGCTGTGTTATTCTGCGTATGCATGCTATCGTCACTGGCATATTATAAAACCGCCTCAGATTTCAATCACTTAACACAGCAATGGGGACATCTTATTTTACATGGCTTCCGAACCATCGGACCACAGTTGGAAATACTTACGCACTTAAGAAAATTAGTTTCCCAGAGGTGCGAGCCAAGCGAGTAAAGGCCGAGAATTCGAAACTCGTGAGCATATGTTACCAAGCCCCCGAGCTACAAGAATCGTAGCCTAAACCACTGTGCTACCGTGACCGCTACATTAGTTATAATAATAAAAACCGTTTTCGCTCTGACTTCCGTTATCAAGCGGAAATTTCCATTGCCCAAAGCTTAATGAGGGAGTACCAAAAAATTAATCACCAGAGGGCAGCATGGCACTCGGCTTGCAATGCCTTATGCCTACCCCCACTATTATCCCTCACTTACAGCTCACGTACACCCAATACACAAGCTCACTGTAGTGTTAGGAGCTATTTACATAGACATTTTTTGCTTATTTCATTGTGAACGTTTGTGGCGTCTCACATCTCTCGCGCTTCAGGCTCCACTCGCCAGGTGGCTAAGCCCCTCATAGTTCGCTCCCGTCAAGCGGCGAAATTCCCGCACGATTACTATATAAGCGCGATCGAGATAGTCTAAGCCCATACNATAATAATAATTATAATAATAGTTATAACGTTTTTTTATTCATGTACAATAACTATACATGTTGGTAATATTATACAAGCTTATAAATATTGACAAAGGAAAGATGTTAGCAGTGTAATTTAAGTAAATCGAAAGAAATATCTTCCAGTCGTTTTAATCAAAACAACATGCTTTTATTATAAAACAGAAACTTTCCATGATGAGTAATAACCACTGTTACATGGGAAAGATATTGTCACGGAGGTGCGTCACCGGGAATCGTTGACACTTGTTACGTTTAAGACTTTTATTCAAAATAAACTTTTGAATTTCTTCACACGCCATCGATAATTACATTTTTTGTTGTTGTATTTAATACCTATCAGCGCATCATATTTGCAATAAAATGGATTCTGCATTATTCTGCGCTAGTAAAAAATATACTGTAAACAACGAAATATTAATTACCTGATAAAGTATTTAATACAAAATAGTCGTACTAAAAAAAATAAAATTTATCAGCTGGTCGTAGAAAAAATGTGATTATTAATGTAAGTGGAAGTAAAGTATTGAGATAAATTTTCAAAACATAAGGGTGCAGTACAACTTATAGAGTGAAGTAAACCATTATTTCTTTATATTATATATAGCCACAATAAAAAAACAATGATTGAAATGCTGGAATGACGCAACGTATTTATTCAATAAATTTTTATTCAAAGGCCAGAAAACTTTAAAATTACTATGATATATTTTTGAATTGTAAACTCAATGATTTATTTAATTCAGCGAATTAATGTTTATATTGAAAAAAATAAATAAATAAAAAATATTACTTGATTTTAAGGAGTAAAAAATTTAACAGTCTGGATATAAAATAAGTTATAAGTTGACAATGTAGGCTATAGTATATAACGCCACGAGGCAGGAAGTAGGACATTCCTGTCGGCATGTACATTGCCATCCAAGCCAAGATGAAGGTCTGGTTTTTTTGTTGTGCACCTTTAAAATGCTGATTAATTGAAGATAAAATAATTATATCCATGCAAATAATTCATGCAATCATTGTAAAAAAAAACAAGATAGACAAAAAAAGTAATTTTCAAGAAATTTTAAAAATTTATTTTTGACAGATACTTGACATAAAATTGGGTTGGGAAACTCTTTGTAAAAAATATATTTGAAATTAAGGTTGTTTCCAATTACTGCGTTAAAAAGAAAAATATTTTTAAATAATAATCACGCAGGAAGATATAGCATACACCCTTGTTTGCCTAGTAAAATTTATGGCTGTTCTAAATATAAGAAAACCTCAGTTTTATAAACACATGGCTGAATATTAACCAGGGACAGTTAGCAAGAATTGATACATGAATTCACATTATTACACATGATATACATAAATAATTTGTGATTAATATTTTGGAAAAATATGTCACAAGTGCAAACAAATATTTTTAGCAAAATATAATTTCTAATATATCGAAAAAAAAATAGTTTATCAAGTTTGAACCATATCAAATAATGAAAATATTCGTTAGGATCAGAGAAAAGAAAGCGAGAGCCTGGGAAGAGGCTCTCGGAGGATTACATGTACACTTTGCCCTGTGAAAAGCTTATTTTTAAAAAGTGTTTAACGTAACAAGTGTTAACAGTTTTGAAGTTAAGTGTGGGTTACGACAAGAGTCGGAGTTTAGATTGTTGAATAATTATAAACGCAGACACTATGTTTAAACCATCAGAATGTTGAGTAAATAATTAAAAATCATTAGATTATCATATTTTCAGAGATTTGCGAGAAATACATTTTATATTGAAATAGTAATATTTTAGATAACTCGAGAATGACGGTTTAAAAGTGACAACATGAACATCGAATGCAGTGAAACATAAAACTGCGATAAAATTCGTCATATTTGTTATTCAAATTTCCTAATGAAAAACAAACAACGTCTTTAGCGACTTACATACTAAAAAAAGTAGTAACTGGATATCACAATGCAGAAGGTGTCAACAGGCATCTGCACACCCAACTTTTTCCTCCTTTTTTTTTTTTTTTNGTGGAGGAGGAGGAGGAGGAGAGATAAGAGAGAAAAGCTCCCTCCAAAGGAGAAACAATAACATGTGCTGCATGCATGTATATATATATGTAGTAGGTATATGCAAGTTAAAGTTGCAGGATCCCAGTGTAACGTAATAAAGGAATTTTCCCCCCCATCCGGGACAGCTGCAACCTGTGCCGCCTGTTGCTCCTCGTTGCTGCGTTGACGTCGTCGTCGTTGGGCACGCAACAACCACCACCGCACAAATGCTCTCCTCTTCTCTGTCCCATTAATTCCTTAGTTTTTCGTTTGTTTTTTTTTCCCCCCGCATCGGAAGCACCAAGGTGTGGAGATTTTCGAAGGATTCGAGCCTTGGAAAGGTGGGGGAGGAGAGTCCCTGTATATTATATTCGCGTGCTGCATTAAAGCAAAAGAAACTTTCTCCCTCTCTCTCCATGACTTTTGATACCATACCTATTTTTAGATGTATAGGCAGACAGGTACATATCTGTTTTTTTAAAAAGAATCAAATTTATACATACATACGCACGTGTACTTTAACGATTTAAACTTAATTGGAATAACTTATTGTCACTGGCGGTTAAACGGAGTTTTTTTTTTTTTTTTTTTTTTTTTTTTTTTTTGTTTTTTTTTTGTTTTTTTTTCATTGCGAGTCTCAAAAAAAAAATTACGTTTAAAAAGAAAAGTTAATATTAAAAAACACGAAATGCTTGATTATCGCGAAAGACTGGCTTGCCTTCTTATATATTAGTGGCACTAAAGCTACGATTGACCTTTTTGCCGATGACTCGTGACGACGTCCTTGTTGGCGTTGGCCTAAGCTTGTAGCCACTGTTAGTAGTACTGCCATGTTGATTGTTATTCAAGCCAACCACATTGGGTGCGATCGTTTTGAGGCACTTTGCTGCTTCCTGCAGTTGTTTCGACAGTATTTCATTTTTCAAACGCTCTGCGTTGAGTTCTCGCCGTAACTGAGCCTTCGTCTTGTTGCCATTGGGACTAAGGACTCGGTGTTGGATTAAGCTCACAGCAGAGGGTCGAATTTCTGGCTTTGGATGAATCATTTGCTGCAATACGACAAAAAATAGATTTTTTTACATTAGCAGTCTACAAACTATAGTTGTTAATCAAAAAATCCATGATAAAATTATACCTTAAGCAAGTCATTGAATTCACGGCTGTATTGGGAAAGTTCCTTGAGATTGCCATGTCTAATACTGTGCCACTCGGGACCGTTTTTGGGCAGAGGACCACTTCCAGCCGCTTCGTACATTGTAAGGCCCAGAGCAAATATGTCGGCCTTGGTCAAATGCGTGTAGTCATCACGAAGGATCTCCGTTGGTAAATACCTGCAATCACCCTCCTCAACTTGTGGGTTGTTTATCGAAGTGACATGTCCCAGATCGCCGATCTTGTAGGTGATCTCCTCCTCAGTCTCTTCTTCGTCAAAACCGTCATCAGCTGAATCATAATTCACCCTCATCTGACCTTTTTCACGCGATATAAAGATGTTGCCCGGCTTTATATCCATGTGTACTATTGAGGAACAACATTAAAAATAAAGATTTAATTTTTATGTTTTTGTTAGACATGAAATAAATATTAAAAAGACAGGAACTTACCCAGATGCATGCTGTGAATATATCTTAGACCCTGGGCTACTTGTAACAACAGCTGCCTGAGCTCAACCTCTGAGTATAGCTTGCCGTCCTTTCGCATCTTTTGAATGGCATCAGCAAGGCTTCCACCATTGCAGTACTCATTCTGTATGATCATGTGATTATCTTCAGCCCATGCTGAATAATATCTGACGACATGTTGGTGTTTCCCAAGTACTGCATGCGCATAGACCTCATTAAGAGCATTCTTCTCGCTGACGCTGCCTGCTACTGGCTTGATACTCTTTTTTACAGCGTAATTACAACCGTCTAGACGGTGAATGCATTTGTAAACCGATCCGAACTCTCCAGTGCCTAGTAGCTCCAACTCAAGAAATTCTTGGTAATAGCGTGAGATATTAGATTCCTGAAGAGCCACTCGCTTTGTTGGCTGCTCAACTTCATCTTCAGATCCTTCAGAATCAACTAGGTCAAATTTAGGTATACATAGCTTTGGTGATCTCCTATAAAATTCAACAAGATACAATTAATGGTTAAATTAATATTCCTCACTCAAAATTTATGAATCTTGTAATCTATACATACCCAATTCCACTTAATTTAGATCTACTCCGTTTCTTGGCTGTGATGAGCATTCCATTTGGTGTAAATGGGTTGATATTTGCTGATGGTCTATCAGATTTGGACAGACAATGACTTGGTATGGCTTTAGGCTTGTCTGGATGAAATAGTCTCGTGGCAGAGTATTTATTTGGCAACGGCGTGTGCATAGCACTTTTTTCTATTAGAGTTTTTGGCGTGGCTGGTGAGTCAAATAGCCTTAACGCTCTCACTTTTTTGTAAGGAGGGCTGCATGTCATGCTTTTCATTTTAGACTGAGTGGTATCCCTTTGATAAGACTTTATACTCACTGGAACTAGAAAATTTTTCTTTGAATATTAATTGTTTTACATGCTTTTTTCTAAAAATTAAAGTCTCATCCAAATTATCAGATAAAAATGGAAATTGTTAGGGATTCTGTAGGATATTATTAAAAGCTGGTAGATGATGTATTCATATTAAAATAATAATCTCGTCATAACACGTTGATCAACCATGCTTTGAATTTCGAATGAATACAATTGATGGTATTTTCGAGTGGTTTAAATAAATTAGATGATGAAACTTGTATTACCAACGATGTCTATGTAATATTAATCATCTGGTATCAAGTATTTAGAAATCTTTTTTTTTACACAAGCTTATTAAACATGGAAAGTTGTTCAAATTTATGAAAATGTGAATCTCTTAAGGTCTATAGTTATGTAATTATTTTTATATAGAATTAACTATTAACATGAATTTGTTTAATGTATTTTTGGCTAAAATCATTAATATCAAAAATACGTAACTTTTATTTTAATTGAAATAAACATTCTAAATGTAATATGTTTCGGACAACCTAGACACATAAATAATGAGAATTTCCTGTTCTTTGTGTCCATTGGTCATTATTCACTTAGATCATTGGAGTCAAAGTTATGTGCTTCATTTAGACTACTACTAAAAGATGTGAATGTTATTGTGTGTTGTACACTCGACACAAACGATACTTGATTTGGAAAAATACATGAGTTTTTAAATATGATTAAAATGGTATAAATGTTACAGTAAATCTCCCTTCCACTACTATATTTAAATGAAGTGACCTTTCTCGTAGATTCTCGTATTTGCATTTTTGCAATCTAACTACATCTATGGAAGAAGAAAAATAGCAATTGCAGCAAAAAGTTCTACTTTCCAGGACTAATCATTTTTTACAAATTGTATTTTTCACGAAACTCCAAAATCTTCAATGGCATGCACTAAATTTTCATGACAACATAAGTATTGAATTTCAACAAGAGGCGAATGTTCAATTAGTCATCGAGTTGAGGTCCAAATAGGCGTTCAAGTTAAAATAAAAATGTTTGCCAAACCACACATCCACATACCCCATGCATGAACGAACGTTTCCAACGCCCTCAATCACAAAAAAAAAAATATAGGCTCTCGCATGATGCTCGGCAGCTGCAAGGCGCATCAGCAAATCTTAAACGACCAAGGAAGGAAAGAAAGAAGAAAAAAAGCAGCCAGAGGTAAAAAGTTTTATACACGCACCTGTCTGTCCGGAAGAAAAAGCAGCACCGGCACCACTCCTGCCACCCCGAGCAGCCTCCTCGTTCTCATCATCCTCGGTGGTGTCCATGTCCACGTTATCGAAAGACAGTTTCCTCGGCAGGGACATGGGCGGCTTCATCGGCGAGGAGCCCGAAGTCTCTTCGTCTACCGAGCACATATCGTCTACGTCACAGCCCGAGCTTGCGGTAGTTCGGCAGCTGGTGTTAAGCAGCAACTCCTGCTCGTCCTCCTGCTGCGGTTGCCACTGGGTCTGCATTTTATCTGATGTTGCTCCGGATGCCGAACTTAGCATGGGTGTCGACACTGATTTACTCGTCACTATACTCACACTTCGAAATGTATTTAGCACCGTTGTCGACGATGATTTACTCGTTAAAACTTCTATTCACTGAAGAAGCACGAGGAGGTCCGAGGTCATCCTCCACGGACCAAGGACCCACGTCTAGAGCTTGTGTCCTCTTTTCGAAAACGTTCGTCAAACAACGCTCCGAAACGTATAGCTCCGATACTCGAATTATGTTTTTGTGTGGTATCCTATAACATATATATATAGACACACGTATCACACACGGGCAAAACTACTGAACAGTTTCTTTTTTTTGACACTGCACGCCATAAATAAAACTACTTACACAACAAGATTTTCCGATGTCTGAGTCGGAGTAACAACGGAGTTGTAAATTTCACACAAATCCCAATCACGTCCGTATAATTTCAATGGGTAAGGAAAGGAAAGGCCAGTTGGACCACTCTCTCAACACTGCCGAAAATATGGGAGGAGCTGCGCAGTCGCTATTCACACACTTTTCACGTTTCCTTGTGCGTTTAGCCTCGAAATTTATATTATACCTTGCAAGTCCTTTTGGCACTATATATTTTCGTCAATGCCCGTCGATTACTGTAATTTAAAAAACTACCTCGTTAGAATTGCATCCTCGATGCAAAACGTTATAACTAACGTAGCAAATGACAACGCTGAATTGTTTAATTTTCATTCAAAATGTAAGAAGTACTTTCGTTACATACCCTCACGTTTAACACGCTACCGCAGTTCGCACTGTTTCGTAGTATAGAGTGGATGTACATATATATAGGTATGAATATGGTGTATGTATGGTGTTTACTATATGGCGTATCGAATGATTTGAAAGTACCTACTACCTACACGACAGCAGAGAGCAGCACAGCAGCAGTGCTCACAGCTACTACAGCCAGTTAGACCTCTCGTAAATAGACTATACAATCTCGCTGGTTGGTTCGCCTTATATAGGCATGCGAGGTCTGGTTAATCTTCTGTCCTTTTCACACTTTCACAACGAACGGGGGAAGCTCTCGAAACTCCAAACTTAGCCAGCCAATGATAGCGCAGCTTTTAAATAATATTAAAATGGCCGCCGGGCCGTTGAGGTCTAGGAGCCGTGCGATTGGTCGAAAGTGCCGATAAGTACCTACTTTCCGTTTGCCATCTCTTTCTCTCTACTTCACTCATTGCTCAATACTGAATCACACGCACAAGGGCCGATCGGGGCCATCGGGGGCTGTTTTCTCTTATACCTAAGTACCTTATGACAGGGGGTATGAGAGAGATAGAGACCATAGTATGAATGTGCATAGGAACAACAATTACCGAGAATTACGGATACTTACTTTAAGTCTTGACGTTTTTTGATTTTTAATCGTTGATCGTTAGACGACACGATTGGATTTTTTTGTAGAGCTAAGTATTACTATGATGCTCCATTGGATTTATCTTATTTAAATAGACGAAACACTTACCCCTTACAAATACATTTTTTTTAACGATCTTTCCTAATTTTTTATTGGATTTTGAAATCATTTTTCATCAATTTTTTTTTTTCCGATCGTTTTCCATTTTTGTACATAACGTAAAATAATGCAGTGGTTCTTCAAGTTACGCAAATGAATAGGTGCGTACATGTTTTTCAGTATTTTCTTGAGTCGAAAAATTTCAAAACGCAATACTGACAGTTAATACTTACCTTCTTATCTTGTTTTGTACGCTATTAACGTAAAATTTCATGAGAAAAATTATACTCAATCGTTTTTAGGAAACACATTGTGGCGTGAAAGTTGTTGTCGTCGAAAGTCCACGTGCGTTGGCCAACCGAAAATCCTGAGAAAAACGAATAACAGATATAGATAATTTAACGGAAAATACGGGTTTAAACGCGCTTCAACACCAGAATACAGTATGATCACACGTATAGTGCAACTGTTAGCTGTAAAAAAAAAAAAAATACCCAAAAACATTTAAATTGGCTTTTGCAAGTTATCTACACGGTACTTTCAAGAAGGGGTGGAAAAAAAAACAAATCTGCTAAATCTGTAGTATCAGATTTAATTTATTATCTATATATACGTGAAACGTAAAAGAAAGAAACAGCTCTCAGAGCACGTGTGGAGAAACGACAATGCGAAAAGTGACGTTATTATAATATTTACGAAGAAAGGAACACGCGTAAATGAACGAGCGAGAGCGCATCTTGCGCGGAGACCTGCAATTTTTTTCTCATGACCCCCGTTTCTTCTCATCCCTCAAAACCCGTCCTTGCATCAGTTGCATTCGTTTTTGCGCATCATCTGCACCTTGCCCGAAAATGTACTCTCTCACTCTCTCTCTTCTTTCTTGACCCGACTTATTTTTTCTTCTTTCTTTTGTTCTTCTTTATCTATATACTATTACCGCCACAGACACCGCATGTGAGCTCTTTTTAGATAAAAATGTTATCGTTACGATACATGTGTGAGTGTCAATATATAGTATGTGTGGAGCCGAAAAGCTATTATAATCCACTTGAAATTTCACTTACTGCATTGCAATATAATGAGTCATACATATATGTGTACATATATGCATATGGGTCATTCTACTGAAAACGGCTTATTTCAAGGGCCGGAATATAAGATTTCGGTCCCGCAACTTTAACGGCATGCAACTCTTGGATAAAAATTTTTTTTTTGGCTGCCTAAAATGCTTGAAAATGTTGTTGGCGTTAATAACTTTAGGATTCTATACCGTAGAAAAATTAAAAACTCCGTGTTTTGATTCCAGGCTCCGTCGAAACTGCCAATTTTTGAATGAGACATGAGCCCGTAACGCTAATTTAGCCCCTTTTTTTGCATCTAAATCCCAATAAAAGGAATACTCTTTTATGCGGTCTTAATTCTGTTGTAACTTTAGCAGTAAACATCCCTTGAATAACCAAAAAAGTTTCCAGATCAATATCTCCTCAAACGACGTTGTAATCGACTGGGACATGAAATTTGCCGTTTTCGGTAGAATGACCCATATATAGTCCATAGGCGTAAAAATGAATAAATAATTCAACTCTGAAAAAGCACGAGCGCGTGTTTCGTATTAAAATTTTTTTAAGAAGTCCCTGGACAGTATACACAATCATACTAGGTATATCATATTGTATGTGGTAGGATGATAAAATGTATGTATACGTGTTGGCAGCTATTTCGATTCCAAATTAAAAAGTATCTGAGCAGGTACAACTTTGGAAATACTTACGACGATTGATTGTGCTGGGGTGACACAAATTTTTAATACTTCACGTTGTACTCAAAATAATATCCATGACAGTTGAATACCTATTGAGCATGACGTGTACCTATTTGTATTTCCTGATGATATCGTAAAACAACTTAAGATGACAACTTAACATGATTTTTTTCTAAATGCAGAGAAAACAGTGAAGTTTTCAACAAAAACTATGATGTGTGAATTAAAAAAAATACTTTTTCCTACCAATTTTTTTTTATTTCTGAGAAAAACGAGCTTACATTTATTGCTGTTCTTAAGAGTTTGTGTATATTATAAGTTAAAATGTCATCGATGAACAAAATTTTGCGGTAAAAATTATATAAGTAGTTATCGTTGCGAAAATCACTGAACCTACTTTGAAATATCCTTTTTTTCCCATGTTTTTGCGAGGAATCGCGGTTCCTCGCACGTATAATTTTATTCGATTTCCTGCTTGAGTATATATATGTCTTATTTCTTTGTTTGAGACGTACACATGCAACGATTGATTAGTTAATCACCGTCAAACAATACGGTTTTGATTTTAATGCGTTTCATGAAAATAAAATCAGCTTTTCTTTCGATCTCTTGCGTTAATTTTGTATTTTATTGGTGCACCCAAAGGTAACAGGTTCCCTATCGTAACTACATAATATACCATGACTCACGGAGTGGTACTTTTCCACGCTCCCTTTTTATACATGCATAATAGGTACTCCATCTCTTTTTTCTCGCTTCTTTGCGGTACTATAAATACTGTTGAAAAAGGACGGGTCCTTTTTTTTATTCGAAGCTATCTTTCGATACAACCACAGCTGGAAAATTAATAAATCGTTTCATTTGCTACTAGGAAACTACAATCTAAAAGAAAACTGCATTGTTTAAAATCAATTTCATCGACCACGCAATTGTCGAACGAACCAGGCCTTTTAAATTTTAAATCTTCTTCGCCGGCACGTAAAAAAATACGTGTTCTTAATTACAGCAACGAGAGACACGAATAAAAAAAACCCTGAAAACTAGAGCACGTGGGTAAAATAATATTAAACTGAAAAGTTCATCCACAAAAACATGGATCAGCTGCTGCGACTTTTAAAAAACACATACATGTATATATACATTACTGTCCCGAACTCCGTCTGTTTTCTCATATATATATATATATATATATATATATATATATATATATATATATATATATATATATATGTATATGTGCACATTTGTTTATAATTAGAACACAAATGAACAGACGAGCTTTCAAAAATGGAGTTTTCCCCAGGCAACGAAAATCAAGGCGAGAAAAAAGAGACGACAGTGAGTAGTCGTAAACACAAAAGATACCCACATGTATTTACACCCCATCAACCAATAATCGGAGCATTCGGAGCTGTAAAATACCTAAATACTTGACATCTTAGACAATTAAGTACAAGATGTGCAATTTTGTCCTTCGGCTTGGAGATTATGATATTAATGATGTGAAAAACACCGATAAATTTCAAGAGAATCTTCATCAGCAATGGAAAGTGAGTAATATGCTGTGATTTTTTTTTTCTCAAGCAGCTATTGTCGCGGTTGGTAACGTCTCCGGAGCTTAATTTTGAAATATATTATTAGGAAACCATCTAATTTGACTTGTCGTTTAATTAATTATGTTCAATAATATACTGATGTCGCAAGTGTATATGATAAGTTGCCACAAATCCGTCCATGACTTACTCACGGATTTGTCAGTCTCGGCGATAAGTATAAGCGCTTAACGGAATTTGTCACCGCTTTAAGTATTTGATAATTGCATTTTAATTAAAGCCCAACCAAAGAAATTCAATTTTTAAATTGTGTTCGTATTGTATACACGTATTTTTCAAGTTGTTTTTTTTTCGTGTTTTCCGTTGTTTAAAAAGTATAGTTAATTTTTTTTATAAAATTTTCTATTTTTTGATGATTAAGTTGATTGGCTGTATTAGTTTCGTAAAATATTTTAACGTTGAAAACAATTACAGAAACCATCGATCTGGTCAGTGTTAGTTCACCCAAACTGAAAATGAAAGAGTTAGACCAAAATGCAGACTTTGTTGCTCACGAATCTGAAGGCAGTAGTTCCAATAATCTGGCAAGTGCATACTACTCAACGAGATCGAGTTTTCGTAAGGATTCAGTTACCGATAGCGAAGACAACGTGTTCTTAAACTTTGCACCCCTAAATGGTGTCAGTATAATCGGGGAAAACAGAACTGAGGAGACAATGCCGGATGGCTCCTTCAATGAGCTTGGAAGGGCCTGTAATAGAAACAATAATGCCAACACGGTAATTGGATTGATTTTTAATAAGGAAAAAGACAAAAATTATCGGTATTTTAATGAAAATAGTTATTATTTTCAGTGTTCACCTGTTGATGTCAACACTAGCTTATACTTTAGAGATGGGATTCGTCTCATTGATTTTGTGCTTGTATGGGATGGATACAATCAGGAGGCATCAAAATTTAAGTTTGCAGACATAAGAAAAGTAAGCTTATGAATTGAGATGATATTTTTTTTCAAAAGACTATTTGTTGACTAAATTTTTCGCTCAGATTTTCGAAGATAATTTAAAACATGAAGGCTTACAATTGGAACACGAACGTGACGAGCTAAGTGGCTTGAATTTCATCAAAATCACAACTCCCCTTGAAGTTTTGCGAAGGTACTCCGAAATATTGAAGCTCAGAATGCCAATGAAAGAAATACAAGGATTGAGCGTACCTCGTCAAAACAAAATTTTTCAGGGTATGAACTCGTTTTTTCGACGCGTCATGAGCAAGTATTACGTTGATCCGACGATTTTTCCTCCAATGAAACACAAGTTCACGGCAGTTTACAGTCGCGATAAAGAGTATTTGTTCGACATTGATTCGCCTGAATTTTTCACACCAGCCACACGCTCGAGAATCGTGCAGTTTATATTAGACAGAACTGGATTCAGCATGGACAAAAAGAACGATTTTGCATTTGGAATCCAAAGATTGATTAATGAAAAAACTTACACTGCTGCGTATCCGCTGCACGATGTAAGTATTATTTTTTTTTTTTTAATGATTTAAAGTGGTTTTTTTGTCAATACAAATTTCTTACAAATGTAAATGTAACAAAAAAACTAGTTTATTCGAAAGTTCACACAAATAAAACTGTTGTTTATTTACACAGTGTTCACATACAATATAAAATAACGTTTGTTTTAGGGCACATTGAAAACACCCGATTCTATGAGATACCTCTTGTACACAGAATGGGCGAGCATACGAAAGATATTTCACTACCAGCCACTGGACTACATCAAAGAGTATTTTGGAGTGAAAATCGGCCTGTACTTTGCTTGGCTGGGATTTTACACGCACATGCTGCTTTTTGCAAGTATAGTTGGTCTGCTCTGCTTTATGTATAGCTTACTCACTCTGGGCTCCGATGAGATTATCCAGGACGTGTGCAAATCAAATCGTACAATGTGTTCGCAGTGTAATTTTTGCACTACATGGAATTTAAATGACACCTGCTTACACTCCAAAGTTACTTATCTTTTTGATAATGCATCAACTTTATTTTTTGCGATTTTCATGTCTCTGTGGGGTAAGTTTGTATTAAACTAAACTTATTTTGGTGTTCTTTTATATCCTTTATTTAAATAAAATTTAGAATCGATCGTTTTACATAAAATAAATAATAGTTTTTTTATGGTCACGACAGTTTAAATTACAGTTCAAACATATTTACATCACTATCTTAAAAAAAATATTGTTTTAGTTAATCACCTTGACAGTCTTCTTTATGTACACAAGTCTTTCAGACATTAATATAAATTTCAACACATTTATTTTATAAAATTACATTTTTAGTCAAAGTCGTCAAAAGCTAAAACTTAATTTTAAAAGATCAGTGGTGTGAAATTCATGGACTTGACAATGTTTTGTAATCAAGTACATTTTTTTCAGTCATTTAAAATAATATTTGCAATAAACAGTTGAAAAATTATGTGTAATCAGCCTTTTTAGGACCAGGTATACAATGAATCAGTACAAGTTAGGCTTTCAAAATTTTGAATTCTGTCTGGGTCGGGATTACAAAAATGACTGAGTATATGCTTATTAAATCCACAGTCAGTTAAATTCTCAAGTCCAAACACACTCTGTGGTAATTTTTCTTCCTCCTCTATCTCTATCCCATGCTTAGCCAATGTAAACGCTTTTGTGTTGTTCAATTGAGCACAGCTGACGGAAAATTTTTCCACCTGATCCTTTATCATAAGTGAACATAGTGTTGGTAAAACTTCAGGAAGAATGGGCCCCGTCAGCTCTAGCGAATAAAACTTTTCCGTACCATTGCTTACGACACTGTCTTTCACTTTCAACGGCTTTAACGTGGCACCGTGAAATGCAACAGGTGACAAAAGAGTTGGAGGTACACAGGAATAAGGTCCACAGCTTGTCACAATTGTCTTACAGTTAATTAAAAAGTTAAATAGAGCTTGCACTTCCATACCTTTTACAAATATCAACGATTCGTGCATGTTGTCGAGATCACACTCACGTCCAAGTTGATTTTTCACCTGTGAAACAGTTATTCTCCGAATCTCGGATTCTTCGATACCTACACTTTTTAGCCACTTATCATTTTCCTCGTCATCCTCTGCGACACCATTGAGCTCGTTAATTTCTGAGGATGTAGTCTTTTTTGGTTTTGCTTTTAATGGCATGTAGAATTTAATTCCTTCGTTATTAATTGCTTCTCTCAATCCTCTTGTACTGGGTGTTAGTAGTGCTTGCACCTCAGAAATACCACAGATACCAGCAGCTCTGAAGAGTACCGTAAAATTATTATTACAAGCGTAAAAGTAAGGACACTGGCGCACTCGCACTAAATGAAACAACGATCTAAAACTATTGCACCAGTCTTTAAACAGTGCATCTTTCATGGGCTGAGTCAAAGCCACAACGTCGCTGGTAGCCACGTTCATTTTGCTCTGAGATCTTGGAAAGAGTTCCATCCAAGGTATAGAAGGATGCTGCCACACCAAACAGCACTGATGGAATCTGGCATTGGGGCTAGTGTCCAGATTTGTTCCTGTTTCTCCAATATCCAGCCTCCTGACAAAGCCTGTTGTTCCAGAAGCCTCTTCGCTAGCTTTCAATTTGACATTCCAGGCAAATGGCTTAGGAGACATGATTTTAAACTTACTCTTTAGTGTCCAATCGATTGGCATGTACTTTTTCCCTTTGGGCTCTTCATAGGCAGGGACTGTATGCATAACTGCAACAACTTTGGCCTCTTTGAGTTTGAGACAGGTGTCCAGCAGCTCATTGGCCTTGTTCTTGTCGATCTTTAAATTGCTGTTGGTGTGGAAATTTAAAAGTTCAAAGGTACTGTCCGTACTATCGAGATCGAGGGACGACTCTTTGAGCTTCTTTTCCAGATCATTCTTGAGAAAAGGATTCTTTCGCTTCCTCGTGACTGGCTGACTGAGGCTCATCACGTGGCTGGTTGGTGAAAATTCGCTGCTCGAATTAAAAGACTGGGACTGCGACTCACCGATGCTCGTACCTGTGAACCTCGCCTGGAGCGCGTTTTTGCGCAGTTTGAAGTTGAACAATTTCATTACCTCGTCCGGCTTCGTCCAGTCCATTTTTGCATTAATCATCTGATGCTGCTGCTGCTGCGATTGTGATCTTAGTGCTTTGCTCGTTTTGAAATTCTTTGATTCATTATCAGGACGCTTCATCGCCATTACCGGCCAATACACAGGCCAACCCAATGGGCTCCAGGAACTCCGCGAATGACTTTCGAATTGGGACATGAAAAAAATACCCAAAATTGCGGAATCGTTAGCAACGTTTGCAATCACTTTGCAAAAAATTGTCGGATCTTCCGGTTGTCTATAAAAAAATAAAAACTAAATGGTCCAGCGAGAGTCCGGATAAGTACGTTGTCTGGCTCAAATACTCCATATACGGCTATGAAACTTACTTTAGTCGTTTGCAATTTAATTGTCGATGATGATTATCTATTGCATTATTGTAAAACTAACAGAAAAACAATGTGAAATAATTATTTCAGTCATTGCGAATGAAGTCTTCTCTGCAGCTATATATATAGAT